ATACTAGAATGAAAACATCTGTCAGAAATTCCAAAGAGAGCAACACCAAAGATAAGATGTTAAAAAAGTTATAGGAAGAGGCTTATAAACATGAAGAAAAGGAGAAAAGAATAGAGAGATACTCACAAATCAACACCCCAAGCAAGCCTACATTTTCCAAACATAAACAATGTCAGCAAACCAAAATGAAAAATGTTAGAACTGAAAATAGAAAAACTCAAACACTTGATACTATGATATTTAGGAGATTTTTAGTAAGATTATCGTGCTCTCAAGATAGATCTGACATGTTTTGTAAGTTGATAATCTTGTTTAGTTGATATTACTAGCAACAGAATTTTGTAACACTATAGCTTTTTTTATTCTCATTAACACAAACCGAAATGACATTATAATTTACTGCCATTACTTTTAAGAAATACCATATATTTATGATTTTGACTATGATTTTCCTTTTGAGTTTTTCCATCTTGCTGAAAACCTTATAATTAAAACCAGGAAAGAAGGAGTAAAAAATAAAAATGCTCAGTAAAGCCCGTTTGAAGAATCCAGTCCAAACACTTCTCTTTCCACCACCTTATTACGATAAAAACTTATAACTTAATTTTATCATGTCCCCAGCAAAAAAAAATGAGAAGGAAAAATAATATGAGAAACAGAAATACATTATGCAAATTTCTTACAATCTTATATTATTCGTAATTGTTTAAAATTGCTATAATTTCTTAAAATTTATGCAAATTTAGCCTGAAATTGATTATTATTAAACTTAATTACTTATATAGAGAAAGACATTTTTGATAACATTATTAATAACGTTATCAGTTGTTAGGGTTTATTGTAATTAGTCTCATTTTTTGTAAAAGCTTATAATTAGCATTTTTTTATTGAGTATTGTTTGCATAGACTACGTATATGGTGTTTAACCTTTTTGTATTGATGAATCTTTAAACATGCAACAGGATGTAAATAAAAAAAGGAAATATTTTTACCACAATACTTTTATTGATGAGAAAAAAAAATTAAATTTTGCTGATTAAATGTGCTCACCTAATAATACATTTCTCAATATATTTCTGATTCTAGTTCTGGTGTTGGTTCTGGCTCCGCCCCCTGAGCAATGGACAACATTGTCCTCAAATCCGAGAAGGCAATAGCCGCCTCTTGCTTCACACTGTCCACAATAGACGCGATACCATAAAAGCTCAACCCATATGCAAGCCCGTCATATAAGTCTGAAAAAGAAATGTTGCCTTCCGTCGCGGGCCTAAGATATTTGCTGATGTCATAACCATATTGCCGATGCTGCAGGAGTCCTCCAATTGCGAGATATCCATGTCTTCTCGTACCACATAATTATGATTTTGCAACGGAGATGGTGAAGTAGTGTTGGAGGTGGAAGTAGTGTTTCTTTTATCACAAAAGCTAGCGTCCACATATCCACTCCTATTTACGGGATTCTGACAGCTTGTGAACATAACACCAAATATGGCCCTGCTGTGGAGAATCCGAAATAATCGGTATATGGTGAGACAGATTGAATTGAAAGAGAAGAGCAATTATCCTTGTCTAGACCGGGATCAACAAGTCGAATCGAGAAGTTGTCATAAGTGATTGCCTCCACGTAGTAGGAGTAGTTGAATTTGTAGTCGTACCCTGCATAAGGATCAGTTTTAAGGTATAGTATAGTGCGATTGTTGTTGCAGGCAAGTTGGTAGTCGGGAAGACCACAGTGCTGGGGATCGTCTTCCAGCCGGAAAGGGTAGTGTATGTCATGGATATTCCCGCAAGACGAAGTGCAGTTCTGATCATTCTTTTGCTGGGCTTTGCAGCACCTACTTGTTACGCACAATACAATTAGTAGAAGAAATCTTTGGCTTACAAGCAAGAAGACCCCCCTCCTCCTCCTCCTCCTTCCTGACATCATAACTAGAAAGAAAAGCAAAGCCAAGGTGTACTTATCTCTTAACTCTTCTTTTGTGGCTTCATTTCATTTCATTTCATCTGTTTTAGAGACAGCCAGAAAAGGGTCCTCTGGAAAAGGAAGCACCCAAATGATGTGATTTGTTGGATGGTAGTAAGGCCCCCCTATCAACACGGTTAGATATATTCTTTGTTTAGGGGCCCACCTAAAATGAGTCGTCAGTTGAAAAGTCAAAGTCAATTACTGAACAAAAATAAAAATAAATTGGATAAGACTTGTATAGTATCTATAAATAAACATTGTTAGATATAGATGCATCATATATGAATAAATAATAATGCCATTTAGAACTACTTATTTGTCTTAAATTATTGATCTACTCCAAGGCCTCGTTTTGTTTACGTATAGTTTGTTGCCAGAAAATAACAAGAATAGACATTCCATTCAATTTTTTGATGTATATTTATTGTGGTTGTCTCAAAGAAATAAATAATAATAAGTCACTCAATCAAGAGTTTCCTCGAAACTAATAAAATTAGATATTTTATATATAGTTCCCCTCGTACACTTATGATAGGGTCCCAAAGAAGAAAAAATTGTAAGATAAGAGTTTCCTCGAAACTAATAAAACTAAAGTTTGGCTGAAACTAATAATAATATTAGATATTTCATATAGTTCTTTGTCATATACTTGATGTAAGGGTCCCAAAGAAAAAACTTTTGTCTCACAAGAGTTTCCTCGAAATTGACCAAATTAAAAACACTTACTAAAGTAATAAATTTAAAAATACGAGACTGAATTTTTTTTATATTCATTTGACATGGTATAGTCCCAATCATTAAATTAATGGTTTACACTAATTTAATACCCAAATTTTGGATATAGGTAATACTTGTTACGATATTTTATATGAGCAATGTTATTGAGATCTAATTCACTATAACATTTGATTGACTATAGACTTCATCAACTATTAGAATTTAGTGTTGATTAATTAATTTTACTGAAGTCACATCATTATATCAATAAACTATATCAAATATTTAAATGCAAATAAGATTCCTCATAATTATTTGGTTCGTGTCTTGCATGAAGTGAGGCATTGCTTTTTGAGTCAAAGCCAGTCAACAAAAAAACTTATTAAATCAAAATAGGGTTTCGGCGGAATTAACACGGTTAGATATGCTATAATATTCTTTGTTTAGGGGATGCACCTGAAATGAGTCTGTCACTTAAAAAATAAATATAAAATAGATAAGACTTTTATCATTTCTATAATTAGTTATAGTCCATGTCTGAATATACAATATAAGAAAAAAAATTATCAATCATAGACATATTTTAATTCACACTCAAAATCAAATCATAAACATAAAGAAGAGGAAAAATAATTTAAGCATCAGTTGTAGTGAGGGTGAACGGTAATAATAATGATGGTGATAGCCGTGGATGACAAACAGAGATGATGATGGTGATTTTTGGGTGACAATAATAGTAGTGACAGTCATTAGTGATGATGGTGGTAATGGTAAGTGTGCGTGGTGATACGCGATAGCGATAGTGATTAACAGTAGTGGTGGTGGGACAATGACGGTAGTTGTGGTGGTGGTGGGCGACGATGGTGATGGATGATGGCGAATGACAATGGTAGAGGTATGTGCGGTGGGGGTGGGTGATAGTGAATGATGACGGGTGGTGATGGTGAGTGGTGTGTGTGGTGGGGGTATGTGATAATGGGTGACGACAATAGTGAGTGACGACGGTGATGGTGGGCGACGAGGGTGGTGGTGGGTTGTAGTAGTGGGAGGTGGTGGACAACAATAGTAGAGGTGGGCAACGGTGGTGGTGGTGGGTAATTGTGGTAATAAATATAAGAATGAGATGATGATAATAGTGGCGTTGGGCGACGGTGATAGCAATTGGTGATGGGTGACGATAGTGATGATAATGGTGGTGGTGGTTATTGTGGCAGAAGTGGTGGTGGTGGGGGTTGTGGTAGAGGTGGTGATGGGGTGGTAACGTTGACAGTGGTGATGGTGATGATGGTGAGGGCGTGGTGGTTGTTGCGTTGGTTATTGTGACAGAAGTAATAATGGGATGGTGATAGTGGCGGTGGTGTGGGCGGTGGTGATTGTGACGAAGGTAATGATGGGATGGCGACAATAACGGTGATAATGGTGATGGTAAAGATAGTAATAATGCTAGTGGTGGGAATCAATGATATCCATCAATCTATTTTTTTTGTATTCATTGTTGCAAAAAATCTGATTAAAAAAAATTATAATTGTGATTTTTGACCACTGACAGGGTACAGTCCAAATCATTAAATTAAATTAAATTAGTGGTTTACATTAATTTAATACCCAAAATTTGGATGATAAGTGTAAATACTTGTTGCCACGTGTTAAATAGTTCTTTGCTAGGTGTCTTCCATCACTTTGATTTTTCTTTGTACCCGAAAGTCGGGGAAAGTAATCAATTTATGGAGTCGCTCACTAGACCCCATTAAGGGCAAGTTGATTGTTTGTCTAAAGATTCCTAATAGTGGGCCACCTTTTTTTTGACGCGGCATGGAAGACTTTAGCTTTATCTGCCGTGTGGGTCATATACCATTATTAAGATAGAAAATAATTCTTAACATGACTATCAATCAACACTGTGCATGTATGTAGTCTTTAACAAGTTCATGTAATAAAAAAGTTGACATGCTAAATTCGCTTGACAAATTAACGGATTAATTATAACTTGATTAAACTCAACTAAATTTCATGTACGATAATAAATAAATTCGGTATGAATTAAATAAATTTTGATACAGTACTAAATACAAAATTCAAAAATGCACACTAGCACGATTCATGAAAAGTTAAAATCAAAATCAAGGAATATTCATCGTTGGTTGGTATTGGTACCTACATAATTTTAGTTTAGAATTCATTGCCATCCTACAATGATTTTCAAATGACTATGGAAATTGTTAAACGCAATGAATATAAAGTCTAATTTGTTAAAAAGAAATAGAAAAAGAAGGATCCATGACGTGTTATGCAATCTAATAAAATGGTTTAATAATCTGCAAAATTTTATGTTATGTCTCTCGAGAATATAAAAATTAAATCAAAATTAAGCAGCAGCAATATGTCACTCAACTTCAACTGATTTCTATAATGATATTTAACAATTTTCATGTTGCAGAACAATAAAAGAAAAATAAAAATTGGGTCAACGTATATCTAACATTTTTCATTATACTTAGACAGACCCAAAGGTCTTCTTACAATATATACTTAACGATATATGCAATTGATATCGTTCTTTAAACTTGATTGTCTAGTTTAAATCCTAGGTCAAATATACATGATCCCAAAAGCTTATAAACATTCGATAGGTTTTTATTTGTTCATTTTTATAAACATGAGATTGAAGCATTTGTTACTTGGATTGAATCTAAAACTTTGAAACATTATCAAATTCGATTTATTGTGCAATATCAATGAGCACATAAATGAATCAAAATTGAGCCGAACTCAAATCAAATTCAAGTTACTTGAATCAATTAATGCCCCACCTACCATCAATTAGATCTGCTGGATGATTAAAAAAACCCAGCCGCTTGATACTTTTCGAACTTAACATATAAGAATCTCCATCCATTCTACAAAAATGTCCATCATTATACACTCGATGTGAGCTTTGATTCTCGGAATATTTTCTAATGTAAAGGACACTCATTTGTGTTGATGGGGTGCTTATATATCTGCAGGGAAGCAACTTCCAACCCCAGCCCATTCTCTAGAACTAGAATTTAGGCCCCAGACGTCATCAAACACTTTCATGCTGTTTTAGTCCCTTGTATTTCGAATGCTAAGATCCAATAATAAATAGGCCAACACACAACCGACACAACATAAAGTCGAATATGTTTCTTATTTTTTGCACAACACAAACCTAACATTACTCAAATGAATTTTAATTAGACTAAATTTTGATACAACACGACTTAAACAAGATAGGACTCAACGTGACACTCTTGACAACCCATTGCCAACTCTAGTACAAAGTTTGCATGGTGGCCAGCTATTACTTCGGAAGCAACACAATTGACCTAGAGGAGAAAGTAACTGAACAAACACTTGAATTCCCAATTAACTCTGTATTTCAATTTCCATTTTTTTTCCTTTTTGAATTTTTCATATATTCCTTTTTTGAAAAAGGAAAGAAAAAGGTTGATGAATGTTCACGCTTATACCATATTACTAATGCACGACATGCATTGCACGTGAAATTTTTTGTTGAAGCATTTAATAAAATACATAAAATCTAATTATGTTGTTACATTATATATTATTTCATATTTATCATACTTAAATTGTTTATATTCTCTTCATAACTATTAACATCTAATAAACTCATTTTATATGATTCTTTTATTCGAGTTATTAAGTAGTAAAGTTTATAGATTTTTTTTTTCTGTCTTTCTTGTTTTTACTTGGTGCATCAATAATTTTTTACTAAATTATTTTAATTGTGAATGAAGAGATAAGATAAATATATATCTTTTTGAGCACTGAAGATAACATTGTATCAATTGAGTTGTCAACGTGTATTAATATTGGAATTTCGGGAAAAAAGTAATATTATTTTTATATATCATGTGTTAAACATAACATAACCATTTAAAAGTTTTATAAAAATAGAGAGATTTGTATGATATGTAAGAGAATAATTTTTTATTTACATATAAAGAGATATAATAGTAATTTTTATATTTAAATACAAAAGGACATATTAATCTTTATGTTTTTTTATAAGAGTAAAATAATCAATAAAAAATTTTTGGGCATTGAAGATAATATTGTATCAATCGAGTTGTCAACATGTATTAAAATTGAGTTTTTTAGGAAAAAAATAATATTGTTTTTATATATCATGCGGTAAGCATAACATGACCATTCCAAAATTTTACAAAAATAGAAAAATTTATATGATATGTTAGAGATTAGTTTGTTCTTTACCTATAAAGGAATATAATGGTAATTTATATATTTAAATATAAAAAAATATATTAATTTTTTATAAGAATAAATAGTCAATCAAAATTTTTTTTATTAAAATACTTTTATTAATAGTACATATAGATATGTGGTTTGAAATTCTGTATCATTATCCTAATTCAACTATAATGCGGTTCAGTTGTAGGCTACTAGGATAATTTCTGCCAATAATATTTCAGAGACTGAACTCTATCAACTATCAAGGCCATCATAAGGGTGCAACCACGGAGCAGTATTAGACCATGGGCCTGCCCACCAAAAAAGAGATTTACATCCTGGCTTCTTGAGATTTGTCATTTAATCATTCAGATACTTTGATATTTAAAATATTATACATAGACCTCCTAAAATTTTTACGAACGTAACACTTAGAATATATTCGTTAATAAATTACACTTAAACTTCTTGAAATTTATAAATATATATTACTTAAACTTGTTGAGTTTAAAATGTTATATTTAGATTAAAAATATTTTAATTAAATATCAAATATCAAATATTTTAAACTTTATAAATAAAATTCATGTTTTGTTGTATTTTATTTTTAAAATAAAGTCAAAAATAAAAATCAATTTTTTCTTAAAAAATCATAATTCGTATACAATTTTTTTTTTAAGAGTGAATTTCATTTAACTTTAAAACTCACAATTAAATTTTTTTTTTTTTGATCAAATCCTAACCAATGACTCTAACAGAGCCAGGGCCAGGAAAGACAGATTAACACACTCACACACCCGAAACTATCCGATATGAAATAACTCAATTCTCCCACACCCCCGCGTGATTACCATGACCGCAGGGCCTCTAGCCCAAACTTTGTAATTCAATTCAATGAATTATATCTTGATTAAATTCTCAAATTCAATTCCACTTTTCTTTTTCAGCAGAATTCTATCTCATATATATATATATATATATATATATGGCTGGCTAAGTCGGGAGAGTCTACGATACCGTCTGGTCAAACAGTGGTACTGTACCGAAAAAAAGTGTGGCCATAAATTTTTTGGCATTTAATATTACTCAAATGTGTGGCTGTAAATTTTTTGTCATTAAATATTACTCCTTAAAAATAACAACTTTATCTATAAATATAATGACATTATCTTAAAAAATTGTAACTCACCTCAAATACTTATATAATCTTGGCCCCGTTTTTTGTCTAACAAGAATTCCCTCGAAACTAACCAGAAACTTCATATAATTTCCCTGTCCTACACTAAATATATAGGTCCCACCAAAAGCGAGCACGCCCTATGGATAAATGATAAGACTTTTATCATATCTATAACATTGTTAGATATGAATTCAGTCATATGAGAATAAATAATAATGTCATTTAGAACTAATTATTTGCCTTAAATTGTTGATCTACTCCATAAGAGAAAACTTAGAATACCTCCTAGTCCTCTTTAACTATACGTATATATTGTATTTTGCTAGAAAATAACTTGAATAGATATCTCATACAATTTTTTTTTTGATATACACTTATTGTGATAGTCTTAAAGAGAGAAAAAATAAGTCTGATAAAAGTTTCTTTGAAACTAATAAGATTAGATATTTCATATATAATTTCCCATCATACACTTAGGGTAAACGTCTCAAAGAAAAAAAATTTGCCCCATAAGAGTTTGTTTACTCGAAACCAACAAGATTAGAGTTTCATTGAAACTAATAATAAGACTAGATATTTCATATAGTTCCCTGTCATACCCTTGATTGATGTAAGGGTCCCAAAGAAGAATAAATTGTCCGAGAAACTAACAAGACTAGAAACTTCATATAAATTTTTTGAATAGTACCATCAAACTAAGAGAACCAGCTCCAACTCAAAATATGTATAAAAAGAAATTCAGATTCTCCTTATTATCACTTTCATTTTGATTTCAAGCTCAAAAATATCTGCAAGGAAAGGAGAGGCCAAGCAGCGGTCCACACCTTGGGAGACTGTTTGGTATTTCTTTGGAAAATGGTCATCTATCGCATTCCCTTCTTCCTTCTTCTAGTAGTCTTCGCCGGAAATTGTGGTGCCGGCAAAGATTATGAGTGCAAGGTGACAAGATGCAGCGAATTCGGACCTGACATCCGGTTCCCCTTCCGGATAAAAGACCGTCAGCCAGCTCACTGTGGCTATGGCCCTGCCTTTGACCTCTCTTGCACACAAAACAATGATACTGTGTTTGATTATGACCTCCAATTTCCAGTGAGAGCATCGACCAAGAGAATTCTGCTTCCATTATCACTCAAGGTTTTGGTCACGGATATCCACTATGAATCTCAGGGGATGAGTATCAATGTCGTGAATGCAAGTTGTCTCCCACGGTGGCTTCCAATTCCAACCCTGTATAATAATAGTTCATCTTCTGCCGGCTCTCCTTTCACGTTTGACTTCCTAGCCCCCGCAAGCGACTATACACTATTCAGTTGTCCCTCAAACAAAAGGCCCTCAACATACCTTATATTTCAGGTCACCTGCCCTAGTGGTGGTCCTGGTCACCAAGTGTATGCCGCTCCTTCTTCGGGGTTGTCCATGTATGAATTAGTAACGGACCTAACATCCTGCACCAAGATGTATAACATTTCAGACGTTCCACTAGAAGTACTTTTGGGGGATGATATTGGATCAGACCTTCACTCTGTTGTAGCTTTTCTGGGATGGTCCAAACCTTTTTGTGGAAATTGTGAAGCAGAAAATAAGTACTGCCAATTGAAGAAAAACAGCACAATCCAAGATCAAACTGAATGCCTCGACATTCTTATAACTCAACTCAGCTCAAGTACTACTGATCAGTTTTCCAAGTCGTCGTATTCAATCAAGTCCCTCACATCATATATATCTCTTCTTTGAATTTACAATTCTTTTGTCCTTTTCAGGTGCATCCTCACATTCGCATAAACAAGTTGTTGCAGGTGAATATATAGGTATACACTATTTTTTTTGTATCGTTATCTGTATCAAGGAATTATATGAGAATGGTTTATAATTTGTTAAGTATGCTTTTTGTTGCAGGTATCATCGCTGGTGTGTTCCTTCTTGTGCTAGTCGTTGTTTCACTGTGTCTTGTTATCAGGTCAAATATAAGAAAGAAAGAGGATCAAGTGAAGATTGAAAATTTTTTGGAGGATTACAAAGCTCTTAAGCCGGCAAGATACTCTTATGCTGATATAAAGAAGATTACGCACCAATTTAAGGATAAACTGGGCCAAGGAGCTTATGGAACCGTGTTCAAAGGAAAGCTTTCAAATGATATACTCGTTGCAGTCAAGGTTCTTAAGAGTGTCAAAGGAAATGGAGAAGAGTTCATCAATGAAGTGGGCACAATAGGCAGAATACACCATGTCAATGTGGTTCGCCTTGTTGGATACTGTGCTGATGGATTTAGAAGGGCTCTTGTTTACGAGTTTTTACCGAATGATTCCCTGGAAAAGTTTATACCAATGGAAAATCAAAAACGTGTCCTCGGGTGGGATATGCTGCAGAAAATTGCTCTGGGGATAGCCAAAGGAATTGACTATCTTCACCAAGGGTGCGACAAAAGAATCCTTCATTTTGATATTAAGCCTCATAACATCTTGTTGGACCACAACTTTAATCCGAAGATCTCTGATTTTGGTCTGGCAAAGATGTGTTCCAAGGATCAAAGCATTGTGTCCATGACTACTACTAGAGGCACCATTGGTTATATTGCACCAGAAGTGTTCTCAAGGAATTTCGGAAATGTGTCGTATAAATCAGATGTCTATAGTTTTGGAATGTTGTTGCTTGAAATGGTCGGAGTGAAGAAGAAAGTTGATGTCGGAGCATCAGACACCAGTGAATCCTACTTCCCAGAGTGGATTTACAATAGTTTGGATCAAGAGAAAGAATTGGAAATCCAAGTTGAGGAAGAAGATGATACAAAGAGAGCAAGGAAATTGACAATTGTGGGACTTTGGTGCGTTCAGTGGCACCCAGTAGACCGGCCTGCAATGAAAACTGTGATTCAAATGCTAGAAGGAGAAGACAATTTGAGCTTGCCACCAAATCCTTTTGGCTCTACAAATCCAATGAATACGGGTGCAACCATGTTTTCAAGAACATTTAACAGCGAGCTTGAAACCATTTCGGAATTGGAGTGAGAAATATTGTTAGTGTTTTAGTAGTGCAATAATGCTGCTAGTACTGTAAGTCATCTGACAACATGGGATGTTTGAATTTGGATCCTCTTAACTATAATTTCTCTTGATTTTTTTCGATTTTGGTCTACTTACTAATACCTGATTGGTGATCTACTATTGAAAAAACTGAGAGAGGTATATCATATGATTTTTTAATCAAGAGAAGTTATGCTTATCCGTAGATGCAGATTATTGTTCTATTTTGTTATGCAGTCACCCAAGACTAAATAATTAAAACGGGGTTATTCCATATTAAGCATAGAGGGCTTTGATTTTTCTTTGTACCCAAAAGTCTGGGGAAAGTAATCAATCTATGGAGTCACTAGACCCCATTAAGGGCAAGTTGATTGTTTGTTTAAAGATTCCTAATAGTGGGCCACTATTTTTTGACGAGGCATTGTAGACTTGATTTTTTGGGGTTGCCAATGGTGGTTTGTGGCTGAAATGTTGGTTGTTGTTGGTCACTATCATAGGCTATATATATGCTAGCTTTAACGCATGTTTCTTAGCCGTGTGGGTCACATAGCATTATTAAGATAGAAAATAATTCTGAATATGACTATCAATCAACACTATGTGTGTAATCTTTAACAAGTTCATGTTATAAACAAGTTGACATGCTAAATTCACTTGACAAATTAACGGATCAATTATAACTTGATTAAACACAACTAAATTTTATACACGATAATAAATAAATTCAATATAAATTAAATAAATTTTGATACAGTACTTGATACATAATTCAAAAATGCACACTAGCACAATTCATTAACAATTAGAATCAAAATCAAGGAATATTCATCGTTGGTACTGATACCTACAGTACAATTTTAGTTTAGAATTCACTGCTATCCTACAATAGATTTCATATGACCATGAAATTGTTAAGTGTGATGGAAATAAAGTCTAATTTGTAAAAAAAAAAAAAAAAAGGGAAAGAAGGATCCACGACGTACTATGCAATCTAATAAAATAATTTGATAATCTGCAAAATTCTATGTTATGCCTCATGAGAATATAAAATTTTAAATCAAAATTAAGTAGCAGCAATATCTCACTCAACTTTGGTTAATTCCTCTAATGATATTTCACTATTTGCATGTTTCAGGAAAAAAAAAATCATTTTTCTGTATGCTTAAACAATCCCAAATTTTAATGCAGTACAAAAGCCTAGAGTGCATCGTATTTTGAAGGGCATGTTTGGTATATGGGTTTGGATAGGATTTAAGAGGTGAATTTTATAAAAATAAATCCAATACACCTTCTAAACTAGTATTTGGTTGAAATTTTGAGACTCAGGATTCTAAATAAGTCCTTCTTAGCCCGTAAAGAATAATTGATTAAAACCCACAAATGGAGCCATGGAGTTTAATGAAGCCTATGGAAATTGGGTTTCAAAATGAAAGATTTGATTTAATAACAAAAAAACTACTTTACAAAAAAATTTATTATTTTATTCCCATAATAATGAACATTTTAGTAAATTGAGTAATATGATTTGATATAAATTAATGAATCCTACGTCTATTTAATAAAATACATAACAACTTGAATTTTTATCCCTTACATATTTTTTTTTCCTAACAACATCACATCACTCATTTCTATTACATGTTCAATAATTCAATATTTGATTAATTTGTAGTTTAACATAATTTTTATTTTAAACATTATTCATATACAATACTATACACATGTTAAAAAAAAAATTAATATAATGGGATCGATTTTTATATTTCATCGTAATTTCAAACACGAGTTATGAGTAATATATTTACATCACCTACCAAACATAGAATTTGATTTGAATTTTTTTTGAATCCGATGTGTAAATCCTTTGGGCTGGGTTTGGAAACGTTCCATAAATCCAGTCCAAAACCCCCCAAATTAAACATCCAAACATGCTATAAATTTAAGTTTGTTAATCTTTATAAATATGTGACCGAATCATTTGTTACTTCGATTTAGTTTGAGCTTAGAAATATAATCAAATTTGATTTATTGTGCAATTTTACAGTCGATGTGAGCTTTGTTTCCTTTGCATCTCTGAATAATTTCCAAAATCAAGGACATTCGTTTGTGTTGATAAAGTTCATATATAATAAGGTCTCTTCGGACCCTCAAACAAAAACTATACTATAGAAATGGATTTCAGAAAGTGTTGAATCAGCCCAGTATAAGATGATCTCGCAATTACCCAAAATAAAATTTGACTGACCTCATAGCTTCACTCCATTCCTAAATCAACGGCTGTGAATTGACCGAATCTCAGAAATCAGAGCACCCACAGTTTCGTTCCCAATCGCCGAAGCGAGTAGGTTCGGGACCTCTGGGACCTCCGATCTCACCTGTCTCTTTATTCACTTGAACGCCATCACTGTCCTCATCCTCATCCTCATCTTCAGCATCGCTATTGCGAGCATCATCGTCTTCACTTTCGACCTTCTCTGAGTTTTCCGACACCTCACCTTCTGGTTCCTTGGAGTTTTCTTGATGAGATTGTTTTCGCTGCGTCGAAGAGCAAATAAGTCGAATCGCTGAGGTCGAGGGTTCGGATCTGCCGAAGGATAGAGATAATTTTGGAGGCTTGGAAAGCTCGATTGCTGATGGAATGGACGGCCCAGATTGCTCGCCGCCGCTAGAAGAGAACTCTCCCTCGGTCCACAGAGGGAGACCGGCGGCGCCTGAGCTTTAGGCAGATGAGGCGGTGGGACTCGTCCTTTTCGGTAACGGTGTCGTTTTGGTTGTGGGCCTTGTGGCCCAAACACACACCGTACACTAATCAAATTGGCAATTACAAGGGCCAATTTCTTTGTTTTTAGGCTTAACAAATCTGGCTGTCGGAATTGGGTTTCATTAACTATCCAGCGTCTCAGAGAAACTTGCCATTGATCAAAATTCAAGTAATTGAAAATCCTATACATTAATCGATTGGTTCAGTAACGAAAATGCACTCCAACTATACATATAAAACTTCATGTGGTTTTTCAATATCTTTGTAAATCTTGCATGCTAGTTTGACTCACGCTAGTCTGTATTAGTTTGTGTGAGGCGTCTGTAACTTTGACCTAAATTTTTACTCAAAATATTTTATACAAAACATTCCGATGAACAAGAAATAGTGAAATTTTAACATTAAAAATTTAAATTTCTCTTGATTTAATATGAGTATAAATAAAGAATTAAAGTTTATTTTTATCTTATTTTTACTCAAATTTGTATTTGAGGCAAGATCTGATTAATGATTAGAAATGCTCTTACAGTCACCAACTCAAAAGAACTTAAAATTGGAATGATTCTCAATTGCCCAAAGAAAATCCACATAAATTAATTTCAACTGAAAAATACAAAAACAAACTGTACATTATTCCTTTCAGCCCGCACAAGAGCCACCCTTCAGACAAAAGAAAAAGGGAAAATTAAAATTATAAACAAGATAACACAGAAAACAACACCTAAAAAGAATTCTAAGGCCAACACTCAACCCCACAAATTCCACCCCCCTCTCTGCGACTTCTCGAATCCTTTCTAGCTTGATGATGAAGCTCCTGTTGATTCATAACTTGGTGATGAAGCTCCTTTTGGTCATCAACAAGATAATCAGTCCAGAAAATCATCTTGGTATAAACATCTTAGTACCTTGCTTTTGACCCTGTACGAGGAAGTAAAACCAATGTCTTCTATGTCATTACTGTCAGTTTGCTGCTGTCTTGCTGCCTATGAACGCTGTCGTCTTGTCGCCCGGGACTGGTACTCAAGTCTTTTTCATCTCTTGTGAGATAGTTGTCGACCTGAGAAGCAGCCTGCCGGCCTTCTGAGATTGCCCATACCACCAGAGATTGGCCACGGCGGCAATCCCCTGCGGCGAAGACCCCTTCCACATTCGTCGAGAAGCGACCATATTCGGCCTTGAAGTTTGATCTATTGTCTTTCTCCAAGCCCAGTTTGTCTCCTACCATCTGCAGGAATGAATAGCAAAAAAAAAATCAGAATCAAATTAATCATTTATAAGCAAATATTTCAAATCCCTCCATTTTCACCAACAATAAAGGAAAAAATAATAAATATTTTCTTTATCCAACAGTTAAGAAGCATAAGGCACGGGCTTGAGCTCAAGTGTGCCACCTACACCTCAATACATATGACTCAATATGGGGAGGATAGGTTTCACGCCCCTCAGGGCCAAGAGATTAGAGAGGTATGGGCTGGAAAGAGGGGGGTGGGGGTGGATTACCCAATAAAGGGAGAGAAAAAAAGGAAGCAGAGTAGGTTCATTTTCAAAAGGATGCCTGGAGTAAAATTCAATTCAGTTCCATCCAAGTAGTAAGCATTGGTTTTCCGGAGGAAGTGGAAGTATCACCATCTTGATGCATACCATAATCTTACTAAGAAACAAGAAGAGGATCGCAGAATGGAAGGGTCAAATGCCTGGAACTAGACTTCATATTTGTTGTTATCATCAATATTTTAGAGTGCAGAAATTTTGACAGCAAATCTTCAAGCCATCCAGTAGCTTTTCGAGTTTCATAGTAGTTCACCCCAGAGATATCATTCATATTATATGAAAGTAGTTCAGAATACTAACCGATTCAGGACCAAGGAAACCCATTGCTAAAAGAACTAGATCAGCCTCAATCATCTCCTCAGAGCCCTCAACTTCCTTAAATTGAAACTTCCCACTAGCATCCTTCTCCCAGTGGACGTGGACCACTTCCAATCCTTTCACAACCCCATTCTCATCTCCAACAAACCGCTTAGTCAATATCTCATAGGACCTTGGGTCTTTGCCAAATTTGGTAGCAGCTTCCTGGTGTCCATAATCTATGCTAATCACAATCTCTGCTAATCACAATCTCGATTGAATTTTATCAAATACTAACAATATTTAGAGAAAGTTAGTGAAATAATTTGCTATCCCGCGCTATGACCCACAGCAGAAGGCTATAAATTAAAATTGAGCAAAAGTTTTAAGGTGGTCAATTTTCATTACCTTGTTCCTATGAGTAAAAGTGATAACTGTATCAACTGGGGAAAAACTAAGAAAGGGGTCAAACCTGTGGCCAAGGGTTGCCAGGAGCCCTGGTTCGTGGCGGCTCAGGGAGAAGCTCTAAATTAACAATACTACTGCAACTGTGACGGATGGATGTCCCAATACAATCTGTGCCGGTGTCACCTCCACCAATTACCACTACCTTCTTGCCCTTTGCAGAGATGTATTTACCGTCCTGATGATTGCTATCAAGCAAGCTTTTAGTATTGGCGTGAAGAAACTCCATATCAAAATGGACTCCAGTGAGTTCGCGCCCAGGAACAGGGAGGTCCTGTAAATATTAGTTCACGAGTTATATTCTGTCCTGAAGATGGGGGGAAAGATCTGTTAAGTTTCACAAATTTTCTATTTATAAACAATCCAAACAAGCATCATCCATAACTCATTCTCCATGACTCACCTGGGTTTTGTAGCGCCTACCGCCAAAACAATAGCATCATTCTCCTGGCGAAGCCGATCCAATGAGTAAAAAGGATCTTTTCCTACATTAACATAGACCACAAAATTCACACCTTCCTTTTCCATAAGGTTAACCCTCCTTTGGACAACATCAACTTTGTCAGTCTTCATGTTAGGGACCCCATACATCATAAGTATTAGCAACAAACCACAGCTCGGCACACTCAACAGTAGTGAGAGTCAATGGAGCAATAAGGAAGCACAAGATTCTTGGAGAAAAAAGGGGAAGACTCTCACAATATTGCCGAAATTAGTGGAGAGACGTTGAGGGGCATTGGAGCTCTAACTGCAATAAGTTTAAACCAAAATAATTATCCAGCAAGTCCTAAAAATCAGGAAAAATCAGACCATTTGTAGCAGCAGATTTTATGAGAAATCAGACCATTTGTAGCAGAAATCTGTGGAGAGACGTTGAGAGGCATTGGAGCTCTAACGGCAATAAATTTAAACCAGAATAATGATCCAGCAAGTCCTAAAAATCTGGAAAAATCAGACCATTTGTAGCAGCTGATTTTATGAGAAACCATTTTGTAGCAGATTTTTTGGAAATCATTTCGTTGTATTACTTGTTTAAATACTCCTCTTGTAATGCCTAATGGTTCACGTTGCCAATTATTGAATAAGAGACATATCAATTCAAGCTTTCTTCTTCCTCTGTTTTTATCTTTTTTCCTCTATAAGTCCACCAATTCAATCAGCACGCTCAATCACAGTCACACTATGGCCCATTTTGTTCAATTGATCAGTGGCAGCCAATCCCGCAGGGCCACTTCCAATGATAGCAACTCTTTTTCTGTAAGAGTGAGGAATATTAGGATCAGTTTCGCCATGACATTTCATTCGAGACAATATAGTACTTGTGGAAAAGTCCAATAAAAGAAACGGAAGTTTCTAAGCTTAAAAAAGAATCTTAAGACTTGCAATCACACCAGAACAGAAAATATATATTTTTTTAAAAGTGGAACACCTCTTAAGATGTGGGAAACTACAGTCAAGCTAAAAATCAAGAGCATACCCAGTTCTCCTTGAGGGAGGCCGTGGCACCATCCATCCCTCCTCAAAAGCCTTGTTATCAATGGATTTCATCAGGGGAAGCATAGTTTTTAGGGAACGCGATCCTGGAGGTACTAGAAGGTTCATTGCAGGTATTCAGTGGTAAATCACTAGAATCTGCATTCCGGACCCCAGTACAGGCCAATGTCAACATGAGTCTTGACTGCATCCCTCAAGCAAAAATCCAAATTATGTAACTTAATGATATTTGCTTCCAGGTTAGGTCAGGTTATCATACTTCTGCCAATGATCTTTGCTTCCAGGTTTGGTCAGGTTATCATACATCTGCGGGGTGCAGTGCCTCTGCTTTCTAATGCATCCAGTCATCGTTATATATTTTTATAAATTTCTGCGTTCAAAATGCAGGAAATTTCTGCGTTCAACAGCACTGCCTCATCAGTATCACACATTTTATTAACATTACAATCCAAGGACTGTACACAAAAAAAAGTAGAACGGTGTCATTAACTTCTCTAGTTTAAAAAGACATCATTGACTTAAATAATTGAGGAACATGTCTGGCCTTAGTAATATCTGACTTAAACTTCATGACCTCTCATTCAAAAAAAGCCGCACCTATTTAACTAACCATTTTTAAATTAACAACATCATCATCCTGCTTATCCGAAAAATGGGAAGTTTCTCCTAAACAAGTATATGTGAGCATGCAAACGGATCACAGATACACCCAATGGCATGGAAAACAATTAATTCACTAGTTACTAAACAACTTACCAATTTACATTTCCCCGGAGTGTGTTAATTTCCCCATTATGGCCCAAGACACGCATAGGCTGAGCACGATCCCAGCTCGGAAATGTGTTAGTTGAGAACCTAGAGTGTATCTGCACCAAGAATCGAAAAAACCATATTTTCACTCCAAAATGTGTCCACATTATGAAAATATGGGTTCTTAACTTCATAATTGGAAATGAAATCGTGTTCAGGGCACTACAATTATGATATACTGTAATGACAGTACAAAACATCATGGAAACCCTAAACTACCTTGACCAAACACAATTTCTTTTCAACCACCAACATGAAGGTTTTGTCCTTAAGGACTGATCATAGAAAGCAAGGCAACAAGTTTCTGCAAACATGATTTACTTCATAATGAGGTAATTTACCAACTCACCCAAAAAATCCAATCTGGCATCCAAATTCAAACAGTAATCTAGGGAGTGGAAGAACTTAAGAGATCATTCAAACTTCAGTGCCTCAGAAGTCATTCCTCAACCTTGAAATCTCTCCAGTTAACTGGTTCATCCCATGCTGTTCGTTGCCAAAGTATGGAGTCAGTGTACAAAGAAGAAGTGTAAATGAAAAATATATTTACCAGGGCCATGTAGCTTGTAAACCTTTCAGTGCCAAGATCTGCATAGTAGTACTCCTTCAACTGATTGGGCTTCAGCTGACCCTTGTAGACAACAGTCCTGCAGAAACAAGGTAAGGTCTTCACAGTCTGAAAGCAGAATTCAGCAAATGAACATATCGGCAAGACACTAGAGCAAACAAACCTCGAGGAAAGAGAACATATGTAGAAGTCCCTCACACCACCATGTTGGAGGTTTAGTGCAGCTCGAATAGCTACCACCATTGAAACCCCCCTTAATATATACATCTGCAGAATGAAAAAGAAAGACAACAAAAAGTGCGAAGACCAGGAGTCTTTCAAAGGAAGAAAATAATTGGATGAAACTCTCAAATAAAACACATTACGGGAAATAAGAGAGGACTGAGAAAGTATCCTGCAAGAGTCACATGGTTCATCAATTTCACCTCATTTTTACAAAACAAATAGATTGTAAAATCAAGGGAACTTCCCCATGGGAAATCATGCAACAACCCCAATATTGTGAGTACTTTCTTCCAACAATCCACTGGAGGTACTAGTGGATTGTATTCAATCAGGGGAAGCCAGTCCATGCACAACTGACAAATCATGTAACCCCAATATTGTGAGTACTTTCTGCCAAAAATCCACTATAGGTACTAGTTATCATGGATTTAGTCAGGGGAAGCCAGTGAATGCAGAACGGACAAATCATCCCACTTTCAAGCCTAAAAACTGATTCTAGCATAACAGAGAGAGATTTACCTGTTGCTCAAAATCAGCTTTTGACCGAGGCGTAGGTGTAAAAAACACTTGCTCAATAACAGGTTCTATCTGCAAAGCAGATTTGCCCAATCCTGAGTTATCTGTGGGGACCATGCGCCACCCAAGTACAGTATGCCCAAGAGACTCGGCCACCTACAAATATATTTCATAAATTCTCAGAAAACAACATCAAGACAAGATATAAGAAAATTCTAGCAATTAATCGGAATGGCAACTCAAAACATAGAAATCCGGAACTGTGCCAAGAATTCCATTTCAAATATTTGAGCAATAATGAAGATGCTCCTCGCTGGAGTTCACGTAAAAGAATAAGAATATAGATGAAGTCTCCACTAAACTAAACATAGACAGCAAAAGAAATGAGAACAAACAGGCCAAATTTTAGCTAAGTTACCTTTGTAAATACAATTTTGCTTTGTTCCCTTCGACTTTCAGATGCAGGCAAGAAGAACATGCCCACGGCATATTGTCAACGTGGTGCCAGCTCGAAACCAATATCCTTAGCAACCTGTTACAAGATGACCAAACAAAAATCACCACCTAGTAGTTTATAATAAAGTAAAGGAGAATATGGCCTTGAGCCAAAGACAACAAGAGTAAAACCGCTAGAAATTAGAATTCAGTTAAGGTATTAGAAACACGCATACTTACTAAACATTTTTCTCTTTTTGTTTCTTTCCCCTTATATAATCACGCAAATTTGAAACGAAAATTACATAACCAAATAAATTCATCACAAAGAAAATAAAACGGTTAGCTTTCAAAAATAAAAAATAGATTCCCTGTCGAGAAAGGTTGTTAATAGAAAAACGTCTTCATAGTTATTACCTCAAAAGAGAAATGAAAGTGAAGTTGATAAACACACCTCCTTATAGAAGTCATGAGGAAGAGCTACGAGAATACCAGCTCCATCACCAGTATTTGTCTCAACCACAAGCGCCTCTATGTGACATACGTACCAACATCTCTATCGCATCCGTCACCTACAGAGCACAAGGACAGTTCCATCAAAAGTGGAATAAAATATTTGCATTGTCATGTGAGTTAGCTGTCTCTTTGGATCCTTTTTTCTTTTACATTCCACTGATAGATAATGAGAAGAAGTGCCTTGGGTTGGACAAAAAGTTGGAGGTCACAGCTAGTGTATTGCGTTCCTTCACTGATATCTTTTACATAATCCATATCTTCTTTCAATTTCGTACCCGCTTTATTGCTCCTTCTTCGCGAGTATTTGGAAGAGGTGTTTTAGTGGAAGATGCTTGGGCAATAGCAAAGAGATATTTATCATCGTACTTTTTAATTGACATTCTAGCTGTTCTTCCACTGCCACAGGTGAGAAAAGATTTCTGCATTGCCAAAATGTCCTCACGTTGCAATTTTCCATTCCTCTCTGGACAATTCCAAATCCGTTTTCTTCTTGTTCAGCAATTTGGGGCAGGTTTTTTAAGAAACATTTTGAGCGGAGTCTAATGATTGGTTCTGCATTATTATACTAGTGTGTGATAATTTCTGAGGCATAAACAAGAAGGATGATTTTTGCCCTAGTGCATGTATGTTTTCTTTTTTAATTTTTTTTTGTGGTTATTGCATGCATGTTTTGTCTGTAGTTGCAACCTTTTTGGCATCTAATTGCATATGCATTATAAAATCTTTCTTGATCTCGAATTTAGCCTGTTCACTAAAAATATTTGTCTTATTCTAGTGTTATTTTATCGGTTATCTTACAAAACTCTCTTTTGGCTGCTCTCAGCTACTGGGAGCCTTTTGGTACTTGTTTTCTATTGAACGTGAAACTACTAGCTGGCGAAAAGCTTGTGCAAGTAGGGCTGATTGTGTCCATGCTTCAGTGTATTGTGATGACAATAATGTCGGATTTATCACATTTCTGAATAATACATGCCCTATACAGACACCAAATGCAACACTTTTTGAATTTGGGATATTCATTGACGCTCTTCAGTCTGGTGTTGTCCAATCAACGGATTTCCCGCAGAAATTCTTTTACTGTTTCCGGTGGGACTGCAAAATTTGAGGTATGAACATAAAAGATGGTATCTGTTCCTCTAATTTTTACTAGTGTTTCGAATAAAAATTGCAATGTTCTTTTCTTAATCACTGGTTTGTGTTGTACTCGAGTTGTACTTGTTTGACATTCATCGAAGCCAAGACCTAAAAAAGGAATGAAAAAAGGATGATCTATAGGAACATGCCACCAATACCCTTTATCTTTTGATGATTGAAGTGCATGCCACGAATATCCGATGTTAGATTGACTATTGTAGTTCACATGTGCGATTGGTGTTCTCATACATAGCATGAGTGCAAAGTTGAGGAAAGTTTGGTGACACCAGTTCTTCTAGATCTTCGTTGCTGGAAGAGAAAATTTATTAATCTTTTTTTTTTTTGGGGTAGATAAGAAACCCAATTAGTCTTTCAACTATTTCATTTCACCAGATGGTACAAGGAAAGCAGAGGAGGAGGGACGGAATCTTGGCAGATGAGGTTCTTATGTCACTTTTTTTTATAGGAGGGTTTTCTTTGAAATGCCCTCCTTTCACTTGCTTCTAATCCTTTGGGACTGGATGTGTAAGCCGATAAGACAGAAAAGTAATTATGATTCATGGCAAGTGATCTCTCTCTCTCTGGCTCTGCCCGTATTTATGCATAAAGATATATGAGTGTGCATACCGGTATATATAAATATGTGTGTGTGTGTACGTTCGGATTATTGCTAAATATTTTCATTCTTGTTTTTGCTGGTCAAATCTTTACTACAAAGAGGAAAGAGTGCGATTTCTCAAATTGGTGATACTGGTGGCAGGTGGAGGCAGCGACCACCTGATTTTCGGCCGCGTTTGATTTTCAGATGTGTGTGTGGGCGCGCGTTTGGTGGTGGACGGAAGGAAGAGGAAGCAAATGGGTAGTTGTGCATGGGGTTTGGTATTGGGTCTTCTGTAGTGGGTGAGTTATTTTCAAGGGTTATTATTCACATTCTAAACCAATGAATCTGTTGATATTAGGAAACTCCATTGCAATTTCAGGTTTGTCAAGTCAGGGAAATTCAATCCCAAAGTATGGGGGTTTAGTGTTGTTCTAGAAACAATAATATTATTAGTTGGATATGCTTTGTTGATACAATTTATCGACCTAGATTGATAGATAAATAATAAGGGATGTCAATATATTTATCCTTACATCTAAGGACCATTAACAACCATAAAGGTCTTTCCAAAAACAGAGATGAGTTGGAGGGGTAAAGTGTTATTTTGAAAATATTAAGGTATCTCTTAAAATATTGATCATCATATAACAACCATGATATAATTCCATAACCTCTATAGATGGGAAATCATTTTAGTTTATTAGATTTCAATTAAGCAAGCTTGCACAAATGTTAAAACTCAAATGTCATGTGGCCATGAAGAGGCATTGCAAAATATAAAATGAAGTGACTAGATTTATGTTTACCATAGCAAAACAAGGGAAATTTTGCTCACAATCTCTCAGTCTGATAAGGATTGTTGGCTTGATTTATTTTATGGATGCACTCATTGCTACCTGCATTACCTCAATCTTCAATATCCGCACTGAGAGAATCTACAGAGTTACCTGACAACAATGGTAACTCTACAACATCTTTGTTCATTTCATGATTCTCAGTTGGGATCTCTTGTGGAGTTAGAAAAGGCTTTGGAGGCATTTTCAGGAGTGCAACATCTCCTTCCAGCATCTCCACCACTCTGTGCATAGAAGGACGATCAATAGGCTTCAGTTGTATGCACCAGAACGCTACTATGATCATCTTCTTAACCATCTTCTTTTCCTCCTCAGTGGTAGCTCCCAAATCAATGTCCTCTCCTTCGCTGTATCGATCATAAACCCATGAGGGGAAGTAAATTTGGCTTGGGCGATCAGCAATTGCATTCAAATTCTTCCTTCTGCCCCCCATTTCCATTAACAACATTCCGAAACTATACACATCAGCTTTGTATGAGACACCTCCTATGTTTTTGTAGAACAATTCTGGAGCCATGTAACCCATTGTGCCTCTTGCTGCAGTCAAAGGCACAATGCTATCATCTATTGAATATAGTTTCGCAAGCCCAAAGTCAGAAACTTTTGGAATGAAATTCTCATCAAGAAGAATGTTGTGGGGCTTGATGTCGAAATGTAAGATTTGCATGTTACAACCTTGATGTAAATATTCAATCCCATGAGCCACTCCGAGAGAAATCTTATACATTTTTTCACAACTCAAGGAGACGGTTTTTTCTTCTCGTGGGAAAATATGTTTTTCAAGAGACCCATTAGGCATGAAGTCATATATAAGAGCGCGCTTTGAACCCTCCGCGCAGAAGCCAACGAGTCTCACCACATTAAAATGGTGAATCCTTCCAATGGTAGCAACCTCACTGATAAATTCTTGCCCAGTAGCTTTGGATTTGCCTATCTTCTTCACCGCAACAAGGGAGCCACTTCGAAGCTTTCCTTTAAAGACAGTACCAAAGCCTCCTTCGCCCAATTTTTCATTGAAACCATTAGTCATCTTCCTAATCTCTGAGTAACTATACCTTATGGGCATCAGGTTATTGTGTCTTTGTAGGAAGTCTTCAATGTTGTCATAAATTGGTAAGTGCAGCTTTCTCCATTTATATACCACAAATGCGAGAAGAAATGAAATCCCACAGAAAGACCTTGCTGCAATAATCCATCCTACGCATATTTTAATAGAAAAAATTAATGTGAATTCGGGAATTTGAAAAAGAGAAAGATTCTTATGGATTTCTTTTTCTTTTTTTTGTGGTGGGGGAAAGAAAAGGGGCTGATTTTACTTAACAGTCTAAAATGCGATCGCAAGTCAGACTTATCAAAAACATGCCAATTTGAGTCACATTTTCCTTCGAGCCGAGGGAAATTTGAAAATCTGACATTAAATACAAGCCAAAATTACATTGAGGGTCTTAGCTTACCGATTGGTTTGTATACTAGAGTGAAAACATCTGTCAGAAATTCCAAAAGAGAGCAACACCAAAGATAAGATGTTAAAAAAGTTATAGGAAGAGGCTTATAAACATGAAAGAAAAGGAGAAAAGAATAGAGAGAATACTCACAAATCAACCACCCAAGCAAGCCTACATTTTCCAAACATAAACAATGTCAGCAAACCAAAATGAAAAATGTTAGAACTGAAAATAGAAAAACTCAAACACTTGATACTATGATATTTAGGAGATTTTTAGTAAGATTATCGTGCTCTCAAGATAGATCTGACATGTTTTGTAAGTTGATAATCTTGTTTAGTTGATATTACTAGCAACAGAATTTTGTAACACTATAGCTTTTTTATTTCTCATTAACACAAACTGAAATGACATTATAATTTACTGCCATTACTTTTAAGAAATACCATATATTTATGATTTTGACTATGATTTTCCTTTTGAGTTTTTCCATCTTGCTGAAAACCTTATAATTAAAACCAGGGAAAGAAGGAGTAAAAAATAAAAATGCTCAGTAAAGCCCGTTTGAAGAATCCAGTCCAAACACTTCTCTTTCCACCACCTTATTACGATAAAAACTTATAACTTAATTTTATCATGTCCCCAGCAAAAAAAAATGAGAAGGAAAAATAATATGAGAAACAGAAATACATTATGCAAATTTCTTACAATCTTATATTATTCGTAATTGTTTAAAATTGCTATAATTTCTTAAAATTTATGCAAATTTAGCCTGAAATTGATTACTATTAACTTAATTACTTATATAGAGAAAGACATTTTTGATAACATTATTAATAACGTTATCAGTTGTCAGGGTTTATTGTAATTAGTCTCATTTTTTGTAAAAGCTTATAATTAGCATTTTTTTATTGAGTATTGTTTGCATAGACTACGTATATTGGTGTTTAACCTTTTTGTATTTGATGAATCTTTAAACATGCAACAGGATGTAAATAAAAAAAAGGAAATATTTTTACCACAATACTTTTATTGATGAGAAAAAAAAATTAAAATTTTGCTGATTAAATGTGCTCACCTAATAATACATTTCTCAATATATTTCTGATTCTAGTTCTGGTGTTGGTTCTGGCTCCGCCCCCTGAGCAATGGACAACATTGTCCTCAAATCCGAGAAGGCAATAGCCGCCTCTTGCTTCACACTGTCCACAATAGACGCGATACCATAAAAGCTCAAACCCATATGCAAGCCCGTCATATAAGTCTGAAAAAGAAATGTTGCCTTCCGTCGCGGGCCATAAGATATTTGCTGATGTCATAACCATATTGCCGATGCTGCAGGAGTCCTCCAATTGCGAGATATCCATGTCTTCTCGTACCACATAATTATGATTTTGCAACGGAGATGGTGAAGTAGTGTTGGAGGTGGAAGTAGTGTTTCTTTTATCACAAAAGCTAGCGTCCACATATCCACTCCTATTTACGGGATTCTGACAGCTTGTGAACATAACACCAAATATGAACCTACTGTGGAGAATCCGAAATATAGAGCATATGGTGAGACAGATTGAATTGAAAGAGAAGAGCAATTATCCTTGTCTAGACCGGGATCAACAAGTCGAATCGAGAAGTTGTCATAAGTGATTGCCTCCACGTAGTAGGAGTAGTTGAATTTGTAGTCGTACCCTGCATAAGGATCAGTTTTAAGGTATAGTATAGTGCGATTGTTGTTGCAGGCAAGTTGGTAGTCGGGAAGACCACAGTGCTGGGGATCGTCTTCCAGCCGGAAAGGGTAGTGTATGTCATGGATATTCCCGCAAGACGAAGTGCAGTTCTGATCATTCTTTTGCTGGGCTTTGCAGCACCTACTTGTTACGCACAATACAATTAGTAGAAGAAATCTTTGGCTTACAAGCAAGAAGACCCCCCTCCTCCTCCTCCTCCTTCCTGACATCATAACTAGAAAGAAAAGCAAAGCCAAGGTGTACTTATCTCTTAACTCTTCTTTTGTGGCTTCATTTCATTTCATTTCATCTGTTTTAGAGACAGCCAGAAAAGGGTGAAATACATATATCTCTGGAAAAGGAAGCACCCAAATGATGTGATTTGTTGGATGGTAGTAAGGCCCCCCTATCAACACGGTTAGATATATTCTTTGTTTAGGGGCCCACCTAAAATGAGTCGTCAGTTGAAAAGTCAAAGTCAATTACTGAACAAAAATAAAAATAAATTGGATAAGACTTGTATAGTATCTATAAATAAACATTGTTAGATATAGATGCATCATATATGAATAAATAATAATGCCATTTAGAACTACTTATTTGTCTTAAATTATTGATCTACTCCAAGGCCTCGTTTTGTTTACGTATAGTTTGTTGCCAGAAAATAACAAGAATAGACATTCCATTCAATTTTTTGATGTATATTTATTGTGGTTGTCTCAAAGAAATAAATAATAATAAGTCACTCAATCAAGAGTTTCCTCGAAACTAATAAAATTAGATATTTTATATATAGTTCCCCTCGTACACTTATGATAGGGTCCCAAAGAAGAAAAAATTGTAAGATAAGAGTTTCCTCGAAACTAATAAAACTAAAGTTTGGCTGAAACTAATAATAATATTAGATATTTCATATAGTTCTTTGTCATATACTTGATGTAAGGGTCCCAAAGAAAAAACTTTTGTCTCACAAGAGTTTCCTCGAAATTGACCAAATTAAAAACACTTACTAAAGTAATAAATTTTAAAAATACGAGACTGAATTTTTTTTATATTCATTTGACATGGTATAGTCCCAATCATTAAATTAATGGTTTACACTAATTTAATACCCAAATTTTGGATATAGGTAATACTTGTTACGATATTTTATATGAGCAATGTTATTGAGATCTAATTCACTATAACCTTTGATTGACTATAGACTTCATCAACTATTAGAATTTAGTGTTGATTAATTAATTTTACTGAAGTCACATCATTATATCAATAAACTATATCAAATATTTAAATGCAAATAAGATTCCTCATAATTATTTGGTTCGTGTCTTGCATGAAGTGAGGCATTGCTTTTTGAGTCAAAGCCAGTCAACAAAAAAACTTATTAAATCAAAATAGGGTTTCGGCGGAATTAACACGGTTAGATATGCTATAATATTCTTTGTTTAGGGGATGCACCTGAAATGAGTCTGTCACTTAAAAAAATAAATATAAAATAGATAAGACTTTTATCATTTCTATAATTAGTTATAGTCCATGTCTGAATATACAATATAAGAAAAAAAATTATCAATCATAGACATATTTTAATTCACACTCAAAATCAAATCATAAACATAAAGAAGAGGAAAAATAATTTAAGCATCAGTTGTAGTGAGGGTGAACGGTAATAATAATGATGGTGACAGCCGTGGATGACAAACAGAGATGATGATGGTGATTTTTGGGTGACAATAATAGTAGTGACAGTCATTAGTGATGATGGTGGTAATGGTAAGTGTGCGTGGTGATACGCGATAGCGATAGTGATTAACAGTAGTGGTGGTGGGACAATGACGGTAGTTGTGGTGGTGGTGGGCGACGATGGTGATGGATGATGGCGAATGACAATGGTAGAGGTATGTGCGGTGGGGGTGGGTGATAGTGAATGATGACGGGTGGTGATGGACGATGATGGGTGATGGTAGTTTGTGTGGTGGGGGTATGTGATAATGGGTGACGACAATAGTGAGTGACGACGGTGATGGTGGGCGACGAGGGTGGTGGTGGGTTGTAGTAGTGGGAGGTGGTGGACAACAATAGTAGAGGTGGGCAACGGTGGTGGTGGTGGGTAATTGTGGTAATAAATATAAGAATGAGATGATGATAATAGTGGCGTTGGGCGACGGTGATAGCAATTGGTGATGGGTGACGATAGTGATGATAATGGTGGTGGTGGTTATTGTGGCAGAAGTGGTGGTGGTGGGGGTTGTGGTAGAGGTGGTGATGGGGTGGTAACGTTGACAGTGGTGATGGTGATGGTGATGATGGTGAGGGCGTGGTGGTTGTTGCGTTGGTTATTGTGACAGAAGTAATAATGGGATGGTGATAGTGGCGGTGTGGCGGTGGTGATTGTGACGAAGGTAATGATGGGATGGCGACAATAACGGTGATAATGGTGATGGTAAAGATAGTAATAATGCTAGTGGTGGGAATCAATCAATGATATCCATCAATCTATTTTTTTTGTATTCATTGTTGCAAAAAATCTGATTAAAAAAAATTATAATTGTGATTTTTGACCACTGACAGGGTACAGTCCAAATCATTAAATTAAATTAAATTAGTGGTTTACATTAATTTAATACCCAAAATTTGGATGATAAGTGTAAATACTTGTTGCCACGTGTTAAATAGTTCTTTGCTAGGTGTCTTCCATCACTTTGATTTTTCTTTGTACCCGAAAGTCGGGGAAAGTAATCAATTTATGGAGTCGCTCACTAGACCCCATTAAGGGCAAGTTGATTGTTTGTCTAAAGATTCCTAATAGTGGGCCACCTTTTTTTTGACGCGGCATGGAAGACTTTAGCTTTATCTGCCGTGTGGGTCATATACCATTATTAAGATAGAAAATAATTCTTAACATGACTATCAATCAACACTGTGCATGTATGTGTAGTCTTTAACAAGTTCATGTAATAAAAAAGTTGACATGCTAAATTCGCTTGACAAATTAACGGATTAATTATAACTTGATTAAACTCAACTAAATTTCATGTACGATAATAAATAAATTCGGTATGAATTAAATAAATTTTGATACAGTACTAAATACAAAATTCAAAAATGCACACTAGCACGATTCATGAAAAGTTAAAATCAAAATCAAGGAATATTCATCGTTGGTATTGGTATTGGTACCTACATAATTTTAGTTTAGAATTCATTGCCATCCTACAATGATTTTCAAATGACTATGGAAATTGTTAAACGCAATGAATATAAAGTCTAATTTGTTAAAAAGAAATAGAAAAAGAAGGATCCATGACGTGTTATGCAATCTAATAAAATGGTTTAATAATCTGCAAAATTTTATGTTATGTCTCTCGAGAATATAAAAATTAAATCAAAATTAAGCAGCAGCAATATGTCACTCAACTTCAACTGATTTCTATAATGATATTTAACAATTTTCATGTTGCAGAACAATAAAAGAAAAATAAAAATTGGGTCAACGTATATCTAACATTTTTCATTATACTTAGACAGACCCAAAGGTCTTCTTACAATATATACTTAACGATATATGCAATTGATATCGTTCTTTAAACTTGATTGTCTAGTTTAAATCCTAGGTCAAATATACATGATCCCAAAAGCTTATAAACATTCGATAGGTTTTTATTTGTTCATTTTTATAAACATGAGATTGAAGCATTTGTTACTTGGATTGAATCTAAAACTTTGAAACATTATCAAATTCGATTTATTGTGCAATATCAATGAGAACATAAATGAATCAAAATTGAGCCGAACTCAAATCAAATTCAAGTTACTTGAATCAATTAATGCCCCACCTACCATCAATTAGATCTGCTGGATGATTAAAAAAACCCAGCCGCTTGATACTTTTCGAACTTAACATATAAGAATCTCCATCCATTCTACAAAAATGTCCATCATTATACACTCGATGTGAGCTTTGATTCTCGGAATATTTTCTAATGTAAAGGACACTCATTTGTGTTGATGGGGTGCTTATATATCTGCAGGGAAGCAACTTCCAACCCCAGCCCATTCTCTAGAACTAGAATTTAGGCCCCAGACGTCATCAAACACTTTCATGCTGTTTTAGTCCCTTGTATTTCGAATGCTAAGATCCAATAATAAATAGGCCAACACACAACCGACACAACATAAAGTCGAATATGTTTCTTATTTTTTGCACAACACAAACCTAACATTACTCAAATGAATTTTAATTAGACTAAATTTTGATACAACACGACTTAAACAAGATAGGACTCAACGTGACACTCTTGACAACCCATTGCCAACTCTAGTACAAAGTTTGCATGGTGGCCAGCTATTACTTCGGAAGCAACACAATTGACCTAGAGGAGAAAGTAACTGAACAAACACTTGAATTGATTAACTCTGTATTTCAATTTCCATTTTTTTTCCTTTTTGAATTTTTCATATATTCCTTTTTTGAAAAAGGAAGAAAAAGGTTGATGAATGTTCACGCTTATACCATACTACTAATGCACGACATGCATTGCACGTGAAATTTTTTGTTGAAGCATTTAATAAAATACATAAAATCTAATTATGTTGTTACATTATATATTATTTCATATTTATCATACTTAAATTGTTTATATTCTCTTCATAACTATTAACATCTAATAAACTCATTTTATATGATTCTTTTATTCGAGTTATTAAGTAGTAAAGTTTATAGATTTTTTTTTTCTGTCTTTCTTGTTTTTACTTGGTGCATCAATAATTTTTTACTAAATTATTTTAATTGTGAATGAAGAGATAAGATAAATATATATCTTTTTGAGCACTGAAGATAACATTGTATCAATTGAGTTGTCAACGTGTATTAATATTGGAATTTCGGGAAAAAAGTAATATTATTTTTATATATCATGTGTTAAACATAACATAACCATTTAAAAGTTTTATAAAAATAGAGAGATTTGTATGATATGTAAGAGAATAATTTTTTATTTACATATAAAGAGATATAATAGTAATTTTTATATTTAAATACAAAAGGACATATTAATCTTTATGTTTTTTTATAAGAGTAAAATAATCAATAAAAAATTTTTGGGCATTGAAGATAATATTGTATCAATCGAGTTGTCAACATGTATTAAAATTGAGTTTTTTAGGAAAAAAATAATATTGTTTTTATATATCATGCGGTAAGCATAACATGACCATTCCAAAATTTTACAAAAATAGAAAAATTTATATGATATGTTAGAGATTAGTTTGTTCTTTACCTATAAAGGAATATAATGGTAATTTATATATTTAAATATAAAAAAATATATTAATTTTTTATAAGAATAAATAGTCAATCAAAATTTTTTTTATTAAAATACTTTTATTAATAGTACATATAGATATGTGGTTTGAAATTCTGTATCATTATCCTAATTCAACTATAATGCGGTTCAGTTGTAGGCTACTAGGATAATTTCTGCCAATAATATTTCAGAGACTGAACTCTATCAACTATCAAGGCCATCATAAGGGTGCAACCACGGAGCAGTATTAGACCATGGGCCTGCCCACCAAAAAAGAGATTTACATCCTGGCTTCTTGAGATTTGTCATTTAATCATTCAGATACTTTGATATTTAAAATATTATACATAGACCTCCTAAAATTTTTACGAACGTAACACTTAGAATATATTCGTTAATAAATTACACTTAAACTTCTTGAAATTTATAAATATATATTACTTAAACTTGTTGAGTTTAAAATGTTATATTTAGATTAAAAATATTTTAATTAAATATCAAATATCAAATATTTTAAACTTTATAAATAAAATTCATGTTTTGTTGTATTTTATTTTTAAAATAAAGTCAAAAATAAAAATCAATTTTTTCTTAAAAAATCATAATTCGTATACAATTTTTTCTTTAAGAGTGAATTTCATTTAACTTTAAAACTCACAATTAAATTTTTTTTTTTTTTGATCAAATCCTAACCAATGACTCTAACAGAGCCAGGGCCAGGAAAGACAGATTAACACACTCACACACCCGAAACTATCCGATATGAAATAACTCAATTCTCCCACACCCCCGCGTGATTACCATGACCGCAGGGCCTCTAGCCCAAACTTTGTAATTCAATTCAATGAATTATATCTTGATTAAATTCTCAAATTCAATTCCACTTTTCTATATATATATATATATATATGGCTGGCTAAGTCGGGAGAGTCTACGATACCGTCTGGTCAAACAGTGGTACTGTACCGAAAAAAAGTGTGGCCATAAATTTTTTGGCATTTAATATTACTCAAATGTGTGGCTGTAAATTTTTTGTCATTAAATATTACTCCTTAAAAATAACAACTTTATCTATAAATATAATGACATTATCTTAAAAAATTGTAACTCACCTCAAATACTTATATAATCTTGGCCCCGTTTTTTGTCTAACAAGAATTCCCTCGAAACTAACCAGAAACTTCATATAATTTCCCTGTCCTACACTAAATATATAGGTCCCACCAAAAGCGAGCACGCCCTATGGATAAATGATAAGACTTTTATCATATCTATAACATTGTTAGATATGAATTCAGTCATATGAGAATAAATAATAATGTCATTTAGAACTAATTATTTGCCTTAAATTGTTGATCTACTCCATAAGAGAAAACTTAGAATACCTCCTAGTCCTCTTTAACTATACGTATATATTGTATTTTGCTAGAAAATAACTTGAATAGATATCTCATACAATTTTTTTTTTGATATACACTTATTGTGATAGTCTTAAAGAGAGAAAAAATAAGTCTGATAAAAGTTTCTTTGAAACTAATAAGATTAGATATTTCATATATAATTTCCCATCATACACTTAGGGTAAACGTCTCAAAGAAAAAAAATTTGCCCCATAAGAGTTTGTTTACTCGAAACCAACAAGATTAGAGTTTCATTGAAACTAATAATAAGACTAGATATTTCATATAGTTCCCTGTCATACCCTTGATTGATGTAAGGGTCCCAAAGAAGAATAAATTGTCCGAGAAACTAACAAGACTAGAAACTTCATATAATTTTTTTGAATAGTACCATCAAACTAAGAGAACCAGCTCCAACTCAAAATATGTATAAAAAGAAATTCAGATTCTCCTTATTATCACTTTCATTTTGATTTCAAGCTCAAAAATATCTGCAAGGAAAGGAGAGGCCAAGCAGCGGTCCACACCTTGGGAGACTGTTTGGTATTTCTTTGGAAAATGGTCATCTATCGCATTCCCTTCTTCCTTCTTCTAGTAGTCTTCGCCGGAAATTGTGGTGCCGGCAAAGATTATGAGTGCAAGGTGACAAGATGCAGCGAATTCGGACCTGACATCCGGTTCCCCTTCCGGATAAAAGACCGTCAGCCAGCTCACTGTGGCTATGGCCCTGCCTTTGACCTCTCTTGCACACAAAACAATGATACTGTGTTTGATTATGACCTCCAATTTCCAGTGAGAGCATCGACCAAGAGAATTCTGCTTCCATTATCACTCAAGGTTTTGGTCACGGATATCCACTATGAATCTCAGGGGATGAGTATCAATGTCGTGAATGCAAGTTGTCTCCCACGGTGGCTTCCAATTCCAACCCTGTATAATAATAGTTCATCTTCTGCCGGCTCTCCTTTCACGTTTGACTTCCTAGCCCCCGCAAGCGACTATACACTATTCAGTTGTCCCTCAAACAAAAGGCCCTCAACATACCTTATATTTCAGGTCACCTGCCCTAGTGGTGGTCCTGGTCACCAAGTGTATGCCGCTCCTTCTTCGGGGTTGTCCATGTATGAATTAGTAACGGACCTAACATCCTGCACCAAGATGTATAACATTTCAGACGTTCCACTAGAAGTACTTTTGGGGGATGATATTGGATCAGACCTTCACTCTGTTGTAGCTTTTCTGGGATGGTCCAAACCTTTTTGTGGAAATTGTGAAGCAGAAAATAAGTACTGCCAATTGAAGAAAAACAGCACAATCCAAGATCAAACTGAATGCCTCGACATTCTTATAACTCAACTCAGCTCAAGTACTACTGATCATGAGCCATATATAGGTACCCCTGACTAGTTTTCCAAGTCGTCGTATTCAATCAAGTCCCTCACATCATATATATCTCTTCTTTGAATTTACAATTCTTTTGTCCTTTTCAGGTGCATCCTCACATTCGCATAAACAAGTTGTTGCAGGTGAATATATAGGTATACACTATTTTTTTTGTATCGTTATCTGTATCAAGGAATTATATGAGAATGGTTTATAATTTGTTAAGTATGCTTTTTGTTGCAGGTATCATCGCTGGTGTGTTCCTTCTTGTGCTAGTCGTTGTTTCACTGTGTCTTGTTATCAGGTCAAATATAAGAAAGAAAGAGGATCAAGTGAAGATTGAAAATTTTTTGGAGGATTACAAAGCTCTTAAGCCGGCAAGATACTCTTATGCTGATATAAAGAAGATTACGCACCAATTTAAGGATAAACTGGGCCAAGGAGGTTATGGAACCGTGTTCAAAGGAAAGCTTTCAAATGATATACTCGTTGCAGTCAAGGTTCTTAAGAGTGTCAAAGGAAATGGAGAAGAGTTCATCAATGAAGTGGGCACAATAGGCAGAATACACCATGTCAATGTGGTTCGCCTTGTTGGATACTGTGCTGATGGATTTAGAAGGGCTCTTGTTTACGAGTTTTTACCGAATGATTCCCTGGAAAAGTTTATACCAATGGAAAATCAAAAACGTGTCCTCGGGTGGGATATGCTGCAGAAAATTGCTCTGGGGATAGCCAAAGGAATTGAGTATCTTCACCAAGGGTGCGACAAAAGAATCCTTCATTTTGATATTAAGCCTCATAACATCTTGTTGGACCACAACTTTAATCCGAAGATCTCTGATTTTGGTCTGGCAAAGATGTGTTCCAAGGATCAAAGCATTGTGTCCATGACTACTACTAGAGGCACCATTGGTTATATTGCACCAGAAGTGTTCTCAAGGAATTTCGGAAATGTGTCGTATAAATCAGATGTCTATAGTTTTGGAATGTTGTTGCTTGAAATGGTCGGAGTGAAGAAGAAAGTTGATGTCGGAGCATCAGACACCAGTGAATCCTACTTCCCAGAGTGGATTTACAATAGTTTGGATCAAGAGAAAGAATTGGAAATCCAAGTTGAGGAAGAAGATGATACAAAGAGAGCAAGGAAATTGACAATTGTGGGACTTTGGTGCGTTCAGTGGCACCCAGTAGACCGGCCTGCAATGAAAACTGTGATTCAAATGCTAGAAGGAGAAGACAATTTGAGCTTGCCACCAAATCCTTTTGGCTCTACAAATCCAATGAATACGGGTGCAACCATGTTTTCAAGAACATTTAACAGCGAGCTTGAAACCATTTCGGAATTGGAGTGAGAAATATTGTTAGTGTTTTAGTAGTGCAATAATGCTGCTAGTACTGTAAGTCATCTGACAACATGGGATGTTTGAATTTGGATCCTCTTAACTATAATTTCTCTTGATTTTTTTCGATTTTGGTCTACTTACTAATACCTGATTGGTGATCTACTATTGAAAAAACTGAGAGAGGTATATCATATGATTTTTTAATCAAGAGAAGTTATGCTTATCCGTAGATGCAGATTATTGTTCTATTTTGTTATGCAGTCACCCAAGACTAAATAATTAAAACGGGGTTATTCCATATTAAGCATAGAGGGCTTTGATTTTTCTTTGTACCCAAAAGTCTGGGGAAAGTAATCAATCTATGGAGTCACTAGACCCCATTAAGGGCAAGTTGATTGTTTGTTTAAAGATTCCTAATAGTGGGCCACTATTTTTTGACGAGGCATTGTAGACTTGATTTTTTGGGGTTGCCAATGGTGGTTTGTGGCTGAAATGTTGGTTGTTGTTGGTCACTATCATAGGCTATATATATGCTAGCTTTAACGCATGTTTCTTAGCCGTGTGGGTCACATAGCATTATTAAGATAGAAAATAATTCTGAATATGACTATCAATCAACACTATGTGTGTAATCTTTAACAAGTTCATGTTATAAACAAGTTGACATGCTAAATTCACTTGACAAATTAACGGATCAATTATAACTTGATTAAACACAACTAAATTTTATACACGATAATAAATAAATTCAATATAAATTAAATAAATTTTGATACAGTACTTGATACATAATTCAAAAATGCACACTAGCACGATTCATTAACAATTAGAATCAAAATCAAGGAATATTCATCGTTGGTACTGATACCTACAGTACAATTTTAGTTTAGAATTCACTGCTATCCTACAATAGATTTCATATGACCATGAAATTGTTAAGTGTGATGGAAATAAAGTCTAATTTGTAAAAAAAAAAAAAAAAGGGAAAGAAGGATCCACGACGTACTATGCAATCTAATAAAATAATTTGATAATCTGCAAAATTCTATGTTATGCCTCATGAGAATATAAAATTTTAAATCAAAATTAAGTAGCAGCAATATCTCACTCAACTTTGGTTAATTCCTCTAATGATATTTCACTATTTGCATGTTTCAGGAAAAAAAAAATCATTTTTCTGTATGCTTAAACAATCCCAAATTTTAATGCAGTACAAAAGCCTAGAGTGCATCGTACTTTGAAGGGTATGTTTGGTATATGGGTTTGGATAGGATTTAAGAGGTGAATTTTATAAAAATAAATCCAATACACCTTCTAAACTAGTATTTGGTTGAAATTTTGAGACTCAGGATTCTAAATAAGTCCTTCTTAGCCCGTAAAGAATAATTGATTAAAACCCACAAATGGAGCCATGGAGTTTAATGCAGCCTATGGAAATTGGGTTTCAAAATGAAAGATTTGATTTAATAACAAAAAGACTACTTTACACAAAAATTTATTATTTTATTCCCATAATAATGAACATTTTAGTAAATTGAGTAATATGATTTGATATAAATTAATGAATCCTACGTCTATTTAATAAAATACATAACAACTTAAATTTTTATCCCTTACATATTTTTTTTTCCTAACAACATCACATCACTCATTTCTATTACATGTTCAATAATTCAATATTTGATTAATTTGTAGTTTAACATAATTTTTATTTTAAACATTATTCATATACAATAGTATATACATGTTAAAAAAAAATTAATATAATGGGATCGATTTTTATATTTCATCGTACTTTCAAACACGGGTTATGACTAATATATTTAGATCACCTACCAAACATAGAATTTGATTTGAATTTTTTTTTGAATCCGATGTGTAAATCCTTTGGGCTGGGTTTGGAAACGTTCCATAAATCCAGTCCAAAACCCCCCAAATTAAACATCCAAACATGCTATAAATTTAAGTTTGTTAATCTTTATAAATATGTGACCGAATCATTTGTTACTTGGATTTAGTTTGAGCTTAGAAATATAATCAAATTTGATTTATTGTGCAATTTTATTTTTTTAATCAAAATTTATTGTGCAATTTTATTTACTGAAATGTCCATCATTGTACAGTCGATGTGAGCTTTGTTTCCTTTGCATCTCTGAATAATTTCCAAAATCAAGGACATTCGTTTGTGTTGATAAAGTTCATATATAATAAGGTCTCTTCGGACCCTCAAACAAAAACTATACTATAGAAATGGATTTCAGAAAGTGTTGAATCAGCCCAGAATAAGATGATCTAGCAATTACCCAAAATAAAATTTGACTGACCTCATAGCTTCACTCCATTCCTAAATCAACGGCTGTGAATTGACCGAATCTCAGAAATCAGAGCACCCACCGTTTCGTTCCCAATCGCCGAAGCGAGTAGGTTCGGGACCTCTGGGACCTCCGATCTCACCTGTCTCTTTATTCACTTGAACGCCATCACTGTCCTCATCCTCATCCTCATCTTCAGCATCGCCATTGCGAGCACCATCGTCTTCACTTTCGACCTTCTCTGAGTTTTCCGACACCTCACCTTCTGGTTCCTTGGGGTTTTCTTGATGAGATTGTTTTCGCTGCGTCGAAGAGCAAGAAGTCGAATCGCTGAGGTCGAGGGTTCGGATCTGCCGAAGGATAGAGATAACTTTGGAGGCTTGGAAAGCTCGATTGCTGATGGAATAGACGGCCCAGATTGCTCGCCGCCGCTAGAAGAGAACTCTCCCTCGGTCCACAGAGGGAGACCGGCGGCGCCTGAGCTTTAGGCAGATGAGGCGGTGGGACTCGTCCTTTTCGGTAACGGTGTCGTTTTGGTTGTGGGCCTTGTGGCCCAAACACACACCGTACACTAATCAAATTGGCAATTACAAGGGCCAATTTCTTTGTTTTTAGGCTTAACAAATCTGGCTGTCGGAATTGGGTTTCATTAACTATCCAGCGTCTCAGAGAAACTTGCCATTGATCAAAATTCTAAATTGGGCCTTTAAGGCCCAAGTAATTGAAAATCCTATACATTAATCGATTGGTTCAGTAACGAAAATGCACTCCAACTATACATATAAAACTTCATGTGGTTTTTCAATATCTTTGTAAATCTTGCATGCTAGTTTGACTCACGCTAGTCTGTATTAGTTTGTGTGAGGCGTCTGTAACTTTGACCTAAATTTTTACTCAAAATATTTTATACAAAAATTGATTTTATACAAAACATTCCGATGAACAAGAAATAGTGAAATTTTAACATTAAAAATTTAAATTTCTCTTGATTTAATATGAGTATAAATAAAGAATTAAAGTTTATTTTTATCTTATTTTTACTCAAATTTGTATTTGAGGCAAGATCTGATTAATGATTAGAAATGCTCTTACAGTCACCAACTCAAAAGAACTTAAAATTGGAATGATTCTCAATTGCCCAAAGAAAATCCACATAAATTAATTTCAACTGAAAAATACAAAAACAAACTGTACATTATTCCTTTCAGCCCGCACAAGAGCCACCCTTCAGACAAAAGAAAAAGGGAAAATTAAAATTATAAACAAGATAACACAGAAAACAACACCTAAAAAGAATTCTAAGGCCAACACTCAACCCCACAAATTCCACCCCCCTCTCTGCGACTTCTCGAATCCTTTCTAGCTTGATGATAAAGCTCCTGTTGATTCATAACTTGGTGATGAAGCTCCTTTTGGTCATCAACAAGAAAATCAGTCCAGAAAATCATCTTGGTATAAACATCTTAGTACCTTGCTTTTGACCCTGTACGAGGAAGTAAAACCAATGTCTTCTATGTCATTACTGTCAGTTTGCTGCTGTCTTGCTGCCTATGAACGCTGTCGTCTTGTCGCCCGGGACTGGTACTTAAGTCTTTTTCATCTCTTGTGAGATAGTTGTCGACCTGAGAAGCAGCCTGCCGGCCTTCTGAGATTGCCCATACCACCAGAGATTGGCCACGGCGGCAATCCCCTGCGGCGAAGACCCCTTCCACATTCGTCGAGAAGCGACCATATTCGGCCTTGAAGTTTGATCTATTGTCTTTCTCCAAGCCCAGTTTGTCTCCTACCATCTGCAGGAATGAATAGCAAAAAAAAAATCAGAATCAAATTAATCATTTATAAGCAAATATTTCAAATCCCTCCATTTTCACCAACAATAAAGGAAAAAATAATAAATATTTTCTTTATCCAACAGTTAAGAAGCATAAGGCACGGGCTTGAGCTCAAGTGTGCCACCTACACCTCAATACATATGACTCAATATGGGGAGGATAGGTTTCACGCCCCTCAGGGCCAAGGGATTAGAGAGGTATGGGCTGGAAAGAGGGGGGGGGGGGTGGATTACCCAATAAAGGGAGAGAAAAAAAGGAAGCAGAATAGGTTCATTTTCAAAAGGATGCCTGGAGTAAAATTCAATTCAGTTCCATCCAAGTAGTAAGCATTGGTTTTCCGGAGGAAGTGGAAGTATCACCATCTTGATGCATACCATAATCTTACTAAGAAACAAGAAGAGGATCGCAGAATGGAAGGGTCAAATGCCTGGAACTAGACTTCATATTTGTTGTTATCATCAATATTTTAGAGTGCAGAAATTTGACAGCAAATCTTCAAGCCATCCAGTAGCTTTTCGAGTTTCAAAGTAGTTCACCCCAGAGATATCATTCATTATATGAAAGTAGTTCAGAATACTAACCGATTCAGGACCAAGGAAACCCATTGCTAAAAGAACTAGATCAGCCTCAATCATCTCCTCAGAGCCCTCAACTTCCTTAAATTGAAACTTCCCACTAGCATCCTTCTCCCAGTGGACGTGGACCACTTCCAATCCTTTCACAACCCCATTCTCATCTCCAACAAACCGCTTAGTCAATATCTCATAGGACCTTGGGTCTTTGCCAAATTTGGTAGCAGCTTCCTGGTGTCCATAATCTATGCGGAATATGCGAGGCCACTGCCAACCAGAAAAGACGGGCAAAAATTAGTATTGACATCTAAAAATAAGGCATATGAAATGTTATTAAAAAAAATTGGATTAAGCATTTTCAAAATTACACAGCCTTTTAGTTGAGACTTCCTATCAAAAATCTGACATGTAATGCAAATATGCACCAATATGTTGGACCGCTTGCTCTTGATATTCCATAAGCACAGGATCGCTTATTCTTGTTCTTTTTTCTTTTCCATTTTTAAATTGATAGAATTAAAATCAAATCCCAGATTCCCTGCTCCTTTTTTCTCCCTTTTGAGTGGCACTGTCAACTGCTTACCACTGTACTATACAGGTTTTGGTATGCAGCATCAGGCTTATCATTTTGCTGTGCTAGAAATTCTCTGCTAATCACAATCTCGATTGAATTTTATCAAATACTAACAATATTTAGAGAAAGTTAGTGAAATAATTTGCTATCCCGCGCTATGACCCACAGCAGAAGGCTATAAATTAAAATTGAGCAAAATGGTCAATTTTCATTACCTTGTTCCTATGAGTAAAAGTGATAACAGTATCAACTGGGGAAAAATTAAGAAATGGGTCAAACCTGTGGCCAAGGGTTGCCAGGAGCCCTGGTTCGTGGCGGCTCAGGGAGAAGCTCTAAATTAACAACACTACTGCAACCGTGCCGGATAGATGTCCCAATACAATCTGTGCCGGTGTCACCTCCACCAATTACCACTACCCTCTTGCCCTTTGCAGAGATGTATTTACCATCCTGATGATTGCTATCAAGCAAGCTTTTAGTATTGGCGTGAAGAAACTCCATAGCAAAATGGACTCCAGTGAGTTCACGCCCAGGAACTGGGAGGTCCCTGAAATATTAGTTCACGAGTTATATTCTGTCCTGAAGATGGGGGGAAAGATCTGTTAAGTTTCACAAATTTTCGGTTTATAAACAATCCAAACAAGCATCATCCATAACTCATTCTCCATGACTCACCTGGGTTTTGTGGCTCCTACCGCCAAAACAATAGCATCATTCTCCTCGCGAAGCCGATCCAATGAGTAAAAAGGATCTTTTCCTACATTAACATTGACCACAAAATTCACACCTTCCTTTTCCATAAGGTTAACCCTCCTTTGGACAACATCAACTTTGTCAGTCTTCATGTTAGGGACCCCATACATCATAAGTCCACCAATTCGATCAGCACGCTCAAACACAGTTACACTATGGCCCATTCTGTTCAATTGATCAGCAGCAGCCAATCCAGCAGGGCCACTTCCAATGATAGCAACTCTTTTTCTGTAAGAGTGAGGAATATTAGGATCAGTTTCGCTATGACATTTCATTCGAGACAATATAGTACTTGTGGAAAAGTCCAATAAAAGAAACGGAAGATTTTAAGCTAAAAAAAGAATCTTAAGACATGCAATCACACCAGAACAGAAAATATTTTTTTTTTAAAAAGTGGAACACCTCGTAAGATGTGGGAAACTACAGTCAAGCTAAAAATCCAAAGCATACCCAGTTCTCCTTAAGGGAGGCCGTGGCACGATCCATCCCTCCTCAAAAGCCTTGTCTATAATTGCGCATTCAACGCTTTTGATTGATACAGGATTCTCAATGATACCAAGGACACAAGAACCTTCACAAGGTGCAGGACACACCCGGCCAGTAAACTCTGGAAAATTATTGGTCTCTAGAAGCCGATCTAATGCTTCTCGCCATCTATTTTGGTATACTAACTCATTGAATTCAGGTATTTTATTCCCAAGAGGACATCCAGAGTTTTCCTGCAATTTATTTTTCAATAATAGATATGATTGAAATAAAAGAGATATTATTATCAATAAATAGATCTCCGGTAATTATTCTTACCTGATGGCAAAAAGGCGTACCACAGTCCATACAACGGGCAGACTGCGTCTTGAGAAGTGGACCAGGTTTTGACTCTTCCATTACTTCTTCCCAATCATTCATACGAACCGCAGGATCCCGGTAGGAGATGCTCTCTCGCTCATAAGCAACAAAGCCTCGACGTTTGTCAGCATCAGCAACTCGAGTTGGTCTCTTCAATGGTTTAGCCTCTTCCACCTGTGAATTTAAAACTCATGAAATTCTTCTACGACAAAGACCCTCGCACCTTCTATTTCTTAACGATTCAAAAATGAGACTGAAAAAGAATAAATGAATAACTAAAGAAACAACATAGCATAATTATGCACAGGCACTACAGTTAGGCGTACATGGATTTTGACTTGTGTTATTTTTCTGACTAACTTTTTTCTCATCAAGAAAATCTTGTGTCAAAGAAGTGATGCAGACCCTAGAACCACAAATTAATAATTGAATAGACAATCAACCTGACTGGCTTTCTCATTTAAAGATCCAGATGCCAACTTCTTAAGCTCTTCAAAAGCATCTTTCTCCATCAATTCTGCCTCCTCTTGCTCTTCAGCTTCTTTAGCTTCCATTTTCGCAGACGCTTTGGCAGTTTCCTCTTCTCTCATGCTTGCAAGAATTCGTTTGTAATCCCTGGGGAATACTTTAATAAATTTAGGTAAAAGATTGTGGAAGTCAGCTAGCACTTCTTTGGCTAGTTGGCTGTTTGTGTGACGCTGATGCTGCTGTATCATCATTCTGAGAGTCATAATATCATCTTCTTCTTCAACTTTATCAAGATCCACCAGCTCAGGGTTGCATCGAGATCGGAATTTGGAATCCACATCAAGAACATAGGCAGTGCCCCCACTCATGCCAGCAGCAAAGTTCCTCCCAGTTTTTCCGAGCACAACAACAGTCCCACCAGTCATATACTCACATCCATGATCACCCACACCTTCTACAACTGCTTTAGCCCCTGAATTTCGGACACAAAATCTTTCTGCCGCCATCCCATTAAAATAAGCTTCTCCACTCGTTGCCCCATAGAGAGCCACATTGCCTATCACAATGTTCTCCTTTGGGTCAAACTGGCTACCTTTTGGAGGATAAACAACAATGTTGCCACCTGATAATCCTTTCCCAACATAGTCATTGCTGTCACCTTCAAGCTCCAACTTGATTCCAGGGCAAAGAAAAGCTCCAAGGCTCTGGCCTGCACTCCCACTGAGCTTGATGTGGATGGTATCTGCAGGAAGCCCCGCCATGTGGTAGCGCTTTGTCACTTCATGGCTGAGCATTGTTCCAACTGCACGATTTATATTACATATTGGTGTTTCAACGTATACAGGAAGACCTTTATCTAAAGCAGCTTTGGACAAAGCTATTAGTTTTTTATCCAAAGCCATGTCCAAACCGTGATCCTGTTTCTGTACACAATACTGGGCAGCTTCTGACCGAATGTCAGCAGCAGGTCGAAGTAACAGGGAGAGATCAATATTTTTTAGCTTCTCGTTGTTCTTGATTAAATCTTTATCCAGTTCAAGCATATCAGCGCGACCTACCATTTCCTTGATTGTTTGAAACCCAAGCTGAGACATAATCTCCCTCAACTCCTCCGCTAGCATGAAGAAGAAATTAATGACATGTTCAGGTTCTCCAGAAAACTTTTCTCGGAGAACTGGATCTTGGGTGGCAATACCAACCGGACAAGTGTTTTTGTGGCACTTCCGCATCATGATGCAGCCAAGTGTTATGAGAGGAGCAGTGCTGAAACCAAACTCCTCTGCGCCAAGAAGAGCAGCAATGGCCACGTCTCTCCCAGTTTTCAGTTGGCCATCTGTCTGAAGAACTGTTCGGCCACGAAGGTCATTAGCAACAAGAGTTTGGTGGGTCTCCGCAAGACCAAGTTCCCATGGGAGCCCAGCACTCTTGATGCCAGTCCATCGAGAAGCCCCTGTACCTCCATCATGACCGGAGATCAAGACATGATCAGCATGCCCTTTCACAACTCCACTAGCAATTACTCCCACCCCAGCTTCAGAAACCAATTTCACACTTACTCGAGCTTCTGGATTTGCATTCTACAACATATGGCAGGAAAGTGTCAGATGCACTAGAATACCCAATGGTACTTAAAAAAATTAACTCCCCCTAACAACACCACCCACATACTTTTACTTTTAAGAGGGATGTAAGTGCATGCATGAGCCGCAGAAGCAGGCATATAGGGGCTGGAATAAGATCAAAATCATCACGCAAACTGCAGAAATTTTATAATAAGCAACCTATGTAATTACCTTAAGATCGTGAATCAACTGGGCAAGGTCTTCAATTGAATATATGTCATGATGGGGTGGAGGACTGATAAGTCCCACCCCAGCCGTAGAATTCCTAGTAACAGCAATATCACCAATGACCTTGTGGCCAGGAAGTTCACCACCTTCACCAGGCTTAGCACCCTGTGACAAGGCAATCCGAAGTTATAATAAATCTCAATACACAACGGATATATGATTTCAGTTCATATTTGACCTCACCAAATGCCACATGTAGGTATCAGTTAATGATGCAAAGACACCCACAGGTGCTTTGCTGACACAGCATCATCTGTCCATGAACATAAATTCATAAACAAGAGGAACCTCTGTTCCAATACGAATACAGTGGCCAATAGGAATAGATAAACCATCAACATATGAAACAAAGACTGGAATAGAACTTGTCAAATTTGAATGTACAACATTCAAGGTGTTATACCTGGGCCATTTTTATTTGTAGCTCATTAGCATTTGTAAGGTAATAACTTGAAACTCCAAATCTACCACTTGCAACCTGCTTAATTGCACTCCTTTTTGGATTCATTGAACCATCTGGAAGAGGCTCCATACGAGATGGTTGCTCACCCCCCTCACCTACAAAAAAAATTGCATAGTAGAGGAATCCATAAAGAAACAATCCAAAATTGTCAAGAAGATTAAGCTACAAAACAATGCACATTAAGCATGCAAATTGGTTTACACAATGCAACTCTAAATTCTAAGGAAATGAGAAACTCAAAAAAATGCATCTCAAAAAGCAGCAACAGGGTTTTTTTGGGTTTTTTTTTTTTTTTTTGGTCTTTTCTGGGTGGTGGTATGGCAAGTTGAGAGGAGGAGGGTGGGTATTAAGAAAACAAGAGAAAGACTTCAGAATAGGAGTTTGGCACGAGATTCACTAATTATTCAAAACAAAATTCAAAGAGCACATCTTTTTTTAGCAATTAGCAGTATAAAAAATCCTTTGTCCTAAGAACCATATAAACTTGACCAGACTCGCTTGAATGATGCTCATGAAATCCATAAACAGCTCAGAAAAAGTGTTATCAACGACCAACCTGTGTTTGACTTCCCACCAATTTTGTTCATTGCAGTGGCAAGGGTGGTGTGCGCCTCCAGTGATATTGAACCATAACTCATGGCCCCAGTACAAAACCTTTTAACAATCTCACTAGCAGGTTCCACGTCCTCCAAAGGTATCTTCACATCTGCATCTTTAAATTTCAAAAGTCCCCGCAAATTGCATGATTTATTTAGGTCCTGTATACGCTTAGAATACTCCTTGTAGGCAGCCACACTGTTGGATCTGGCAGCATCTTGCAGCTTTGCTATAGCAAGAGGATCATTCAGGTGAACCTCGCCACCTTTCCTCCAGTGATAATCTCCAGGATTTGGCAGTGCTACAGCCTCCGCACTTCCAGGAGGGAAGACCCGTGTTGGAAATGCCAGCTCATGCAGCTGAAGCGCATCATGGGCAAGTGCCTCAAACGTTGCACCCTCAACTCTGCTTGGGGTTCCCATAAAGCATTTCTCCATAACTTCTGATGACAGACCCACGGCCTCAAAAATCTGAGCACCCTTGTAAGAAGCTAGAGTTGATATCCCCATTTTGGCAAGAACTTTCATCATTCCATAGTTGCTTGCTTTGAAGTACTTCTTGATCAGTTCATCCTTAGATTGGAACTCTCCACCTGCTTTGGGTGGGATCTTTCCATCAACCTGCAGTCTCAAAATGGCTTCTATGGCCAAATATGGGCAGATAGCATCTGCACCAAATCCAACCAGTGTACAGAAATGATGCACTTCACGGGGCTCAGCAGATTCAACAACCAATGCAACTCGGGTTCGTTCAAGTTTTTTAACTAGATGATGATGAACAGCACCAACAGCCAAGAGCGAGCTGACGGCGACACGCTTCGATGAGAAGGCTAAGCAGTTGGAAAGAGAGCAGATATATTATTTTAAATAACAATATATAAATCTGCACAGAATCAGGCACATTATTCTACAAAGAACGTTTTAAAGGTGCTATTACGAGTACCTCTGTCAGAAAGCACCAATGTTGTATAACCCCACTTAATTGCATCGTGTGCTTCAGAACAGATCCTATCCAAGGTCTCCTCCAAACCCTTCCTGCCACGGTCTTTTGCATAAGTAGTATCAAGAACTTTGCAGCGCCAGCCTCGGTAGTTCATCTTCTTAATTGCTTCCATTTCATCTATTGACAAAAGAGGCCCTTTAAGTGAGAGACGATGACATTGGTCTTCTGTAGTCTCTGTAAGATCACCTTCTGGACCAATCATGCACTCCATGGAGGTAACTATCTTCTCTCGGATAGGATCAATCGGAGGATTTGTAACTTGAGCAAACATTTGCTTGAAATACTCAAATGTGAGTTTCTCTCGGTCAGACATCACAGCCAAAGGAGCATCATTTCCCATCGAACCAAGGGCCTCAACACCATCTTTTGCCATGGGTAGTAATAACATCTCCAAAGCTTCGACAGTGTAACTGCATATGAAGGCCATAATTTAAGTCCAGTAACCCATAGACGTGCAAGGCCCATTTAAATTTTGAGTGCAAGACGAGCAACAAAATATACATACCCAAAAGCCTTCAATGGAGCCAATAAACCATGAATTCCCATATTTTCCATGTTGTCATCATCATTAGAGGCCTACAAGTTACCACGCGTATATAACTCCAAATCAGAAAGTCCTCAAGGAAAGATTGAGAAATAAATGAAGAATATAAGGAATGAGATAGTATGCTTACTGACACAACTCCTGCTATGGGTGGAGAGACCCTCTCAGATTCCTGAACTGATTCAACTATGTCCTTCAGTTTTATCTTTTGCCTTTCAAGCCACTCCCCATAAGGTCTTGCCAGTGAATACTGCTGCTTCAAGGCTTCATCATCTACAACGACATGCTTCTCAAAATCAACCAGAAGCATCATGCCAGGATTAAGTCTTCCTTTCCTACAAACATCTTCAGGTGGAATATCCACTACTCCAACTTCACTTGCCATTATTACTCGTCCACTATGTGTAATATAAAAACGACCTGGACGTAATCCATTTCGATCCAACGTAGCTCCAAGGTAGCGGCCATCAGTAACTGAAAATCATTACATGTAAGCACTAACCAAAAACTAGCAACAAACTAACTTGATTGACAGTAAGAATCTTGAGTGGAACTCCTACATGATATTAGAGCAGGCCCATCCCATGGTTCCATAAGTGCAGAGAAATATTCATATAAGGCCTTGCGATGAGGATCCATATTCTGATCGTTTTGCCAGGCTTCAGGTATCATCATCATTACAGCTTCGGGGAGACTTCTACCAGCTCGAACTAAAAGCTCAAGAACACCATCAAAAGCTCCTAAATCAAGGGGAAATAGCAATCAGATACATGGCAATCAAATTTATGAACTTTAAAAGAGCACAATGCAACTAATTCAAGTGATCACAAGCTGCATTCAAGCACCAGCGTTCAAATATGGATCAGAAAGGAGACACACAAGTGTACAGAATATTCAAGCTGCTTTAATTCATGCATCAGTGTTCAAATATGGACCACACAAGATACTAGTGTATGGAAATGAACATGTGCAAGCACATACAATAGAAAAAAGATTTGAAATCCAAACCTGAATCAGATGAGCTGGCATCTACAATGGGTAGAAGCTTCTTCATCTCATTCTTTGACAAGCCTAGTTCCTTGCACTTTAGAAGACCCTCACGTGCCTTCATCCTGAACAAAATAAAATGTATGATCACATCAATCGAGATATCCAGATTAAACAATAAACGCAAATCAAGTGACAGACTAGCATAGGTTAATACAAGAATCCGATCAAAAAATACAAGAATATCAACCACTTAAGGGGTACATAATTCAGCTAGCATAGTTTTAGAGAACGCGATCCTGGAGGTACTAGAAGGTTCATTGCAGGTATTCAGAGGTAAATCACTAGAATCTACATTCCGGACCCCAGTACAGGCAATGCCAACATGAGTCTTGACTGCATCCCTCAAGCAGAAATCCAAATTATGTAACTTAATGATATTTGCTTCCAGGTTAGGTCAGGTTATCATACATCTACGGGGTGGCAGTGCCTGTGCTTTCTAATGCATCCAGTCATCGTTATATATTTTTATAAATTTCTGCGTTCAAAATGCAGGAAATTTCTGCGATCAACAGCACTGCCTCATCAATATCACACATTTTATTAAGATTACAATCCAAGGACTGTACACACAAAAAAGTAGAACGGTGTAATTAACTTCTCTAGTTTAAAAGACATCATTGACTTAAATAATTGAAGAACATGTCTGGCCTTAGTAATATCTGACTTGCAACAGGCAAGCAACAAAGAATTTTAAACTTCATGACCTCTCATTCAAAAAAAGTCGAACCTATTTAACTAACCATTTTTAAATTAACAACATCATCATCCTGCTTATCCGAAAAATGGGAAGTTTCTCCTAAACAAGTATATGTGAGCATGCAAACGGATCACAGATACACCCAATTTTACCAATCACATATCAAACTTCACACGAAGCTTCTCAGAAGAAATAGCTGACCAAAATGGCATGGAAAACAATTAATTCACTAGTTACTAAACAACTTACCAATTTACATTTCCCCGCAGTGTGTTAATTTCCCCATTATGGCCCAAGACACGCATAGGCTGAGCACGATCCCAGCTCGGAAATGTGTTAGTTGAGAACCTAGAGTGTATCTGCACCAAGAATCAAAAAAACCATATTTTCACTCCAAAATCTGTCCACATTATGAAAATATGGGTTCTTAACTTCATAATTGGAAATGAAATCGTGTTCAGGGCACTACAATTATGATATACTGTAATGACAGTACAAAACATCATGGAAACCCTAAACTACCTTGACCAAACACAATTTCTTTTCAACCACCAACATGAAGGTTTTGTCCTTAAGGACTGATCATAGAAAGCAAGGCACCAAGTTTCTGCAAACATGATTTACTTCATAATGAGGTACTTTACCAACTCACCCAAAAAATCCATTCTGGCATCCAAATTCAAACAGTAATCTAGGGAGTGGAAGAACTTAAGAGATCATTCAAACTTCAATGCCTCAGAAGTCATTCCTCAACCTTGAAATCTCTCCAGTTAACTGGTTCATCCCATGCTGTTCGTTGCCGACGTATGGAGTCAGTGTACAAAGAAGTGTAAATGAAAAATATATTTACCAGGGCCATGTAGCTTGTAAACCTTTCAGTGCCAAGATCTGCATAGTAGTACTCCTTCAATTGATTGGGCTTCAGCTGACCCTTGTAGACAACAGTCCTGCAGAAACAAGGTAAGGACTTCACAGTCTGAAAGCAGAATTCAGCAAATGAACATATCGGCAAGACTCTACAGCAAACAAACCTTGAGGAAAGAGAACATATGTAGAAGTCCCTCACACCACCATGTTGGAGGTTTAGTGCAGCTCGAATAGCTACCATTGAAACCCTCCTTAATATATACATCTGCAGAATACAAAAGAAAGACAACAAATAAGTGTGAAGACCAGGAGCCATTGAAAGGAAGAAAATAATTGGATGAAACTCTCAAATAAAACACATTATGCGAAATAAGAAAGGACTGAGAAAGTATACTGCAAGAGTCACATGGTTCATCAATTTCACCTCATTTTTACAAAACAAATAGATTGTATAATCAAGGGAACTTCCCCATGGGAAAACATGCAACCCCAATATTGTGAGTACTTTCTTCCAACAGTCCACTGGAGGTACTAGGGGATTGTATTCAATCAGGGGAAGCCAGTCCATCCACAACTGACAAATCATGCAACCCCAATATTGTGAGTACTTTCTGCCAAAAATCCTCTATAGGTACTAGTTATCGTGGATTTCATCAGGGGAAGCCAGTGCATGCATAACTGACAAATCATCCCACTTTCAAGCCTAAAAACTGATTCTAGCATAACAGAAACAGATTTACCTGTTGCTCAAAATCAGCTTTTGACCGAGGCGTAGGTGTAAGAAACACTTGCTCAATAACAGGTTCTGTCTGCAAAGCAGATTTGCCCAATCCTGAGTTATCGGTGGGGACCATGCGCCACCCAAGTACAGTATGCCCAAGAGACTCAGCCACCTACAAATATATTCCATAAATTCTCAGAAAACAACATCAAGACATGATATAAGAAAATTCTAACAATAAATCGGAATGACAACTCAATACATAGAAAACCGGAACGGTGCCAAGAACTCCATTTCAAATTTTTAAGCAATAATGAAGATGCTCCCCGCTGGAGTTCACATAAAAGAATAAGAATATAGATGAAGTCTCCGCTAAACTAAACATAGACAGCAAAAGAAATGAGAACAAACAGACCAAATTTCAGCCAAGTTACCTTTGTAAATACAATTTTGCTTTGTTCCCTTCGACTTTCGGATGTAGGCAAGAAGAACATGCCCACAGCATATTGTCCACGTGGTGGCAGCTCGAAACCAATATCCTTAGCAACCTGTTACAAGATAACCAAACAAAAATCACTACCTAGTTTATAATAAAGCAAAGGAGAATATGGCCTTGAGCCAAAGCCAACAAGAATTAAACCGCTAGAAATTAGAATTCAGTTAAGGTATTAGAAACACACATACTAAATATTTTTCTATTATTGTTTCTTTCCCCTGATATATTCACTCAAATTTGAAACGAAAAATTAAATAACCAAATAAATTCATCACAAAGAAAAATAAAACGGTCAGCTTTCAAAAATAAAAAATCAAACGCTCAAAATGGATTAAAACTACGCAAACTTAAATAGATTCCCTGTCAAGAAAGGTTGTTAATAGAACTAAACGTCTTCATAGCTATTACCACAACAGAGAAATGAAAATAAAGTTGATAAACACACCTCCTTATAGAAGTCATGAGGAAGAGCTACGAGAATACCAGCTCCATCACCAGTATTGGTCTCACAACCACAAGCGCCTCTATGTGACATACGTACCAACATCTCTATCGCATCCGTCACCTACAGAGCACAATTTTTTTCAAAACTTAAGTCTCAAATACAATATTTAAATGCCGATATATCCGTATATGTACACATCTATTGATTATATCTACCGTTTTTCGGCTGCTTTCGCCGGATAATTCAGCCACGAAGCCAACTCCACATGAATCTTTATCAAAAGAAGGATCATAGAGACCCAGCGGCTTCTCCGGCAGCTGAGACAATGCGGACCGCACCACCACCTTGAGCTTCGGAGATTTCCCTGGACCGTCCGATTGCCAAAGTTGGCGCGTCTCCGAGCCCGAAGGTCGCAGTCTCATCCCATAGAACCTGTTCTCCAGCGAAACATCAGACCTTCTTGCCACAGAACCACGATAAGCCCTAGCTCTGGTGGTTCCAACTCGGCTCAACGGCACAACATTCAATTGATTATTGATAAAAGGTTTGGTAGTGACGGAAGGAACTACCGATTTAGCTCGTGTTTGAAGAGCAGAACTATTCGAAGCCACCGACATTATCAACAAAACTACAACAACAGCAGTTTTAACAGGTTCTCTTCCTTCGTTTATTCAAATATATGGCAACAAGAACAAAGATCAATGATCAGATTTCTTCAACAACAAATTCGTATGCCTTTTCTACGAACTGGAGAATATCAGATCCAGGCGGATTTTTGAATATGTTTCCAAATCAATCCATTTTCTTCTCCGGATCAGATTCGTCAGTTTTGGATATATGAATCGTCAATTGATAGAAGAAAATCGATTGAAAATAGTTAGGGGAGAGAGAGCGAGGGAGAGAGAGAGAGAGAGGATCTAGATTGGCGGTGAAAAAACCAAATCGTTGATTGGGTAATATGCCGAAAGGTGTCCTTATCCGCAGCAACCTCTTCCACAACCAACAAAAAATTTAACAACCGCAATTCTAGTATAACTTAAAAACCGAAATTATAGCAGAGAACCTATTCATATTTTGAGATATATAGATACCGAGATACAGAGAGAGAGTCCACCGCTTCGGCCGACAAGATTATCTGGTTGGTTGGGTCCTCCTCCTCAGTCTGGAGGAGTTGAGGTGTTTGGATTTATAGAGAGGCGAGAGAGAGAGAGAGGAGGTGGAGGAGGTATTGTTTTGAGGGGACCACCGGTGGTGGATTTAACACAGTCGGACCTCACCATCTTTGTTGAGGTGGACAGGTCGAAATTTTCTGTTTGATGCCACGTGTATCATTAGACTATGCGGCACGAGACAGCCGCTCATGGTAGGGCCCATTTGCTAGCTTTATTAGCTTTTGTTTCAGTCTCATGGTAAATTGCTTAGCCGCCTATAGGCTCGGTTCCGAGGCTCCCTGGCTCGTGATTGGTAACAGTTTACCTTTATTATATTTACAATCCGGTATTACAAATACAAGCGATACCTCGTTAGTGAAATTAATGTATACTATATTATAATATTATACATGTATTAGAGTGTGCATATAGGTAGAAGGTATATATTAGAAAAATATATCTTTATAAGTTCAAAAATTTAATTATCTTATTATATAAATTTAATTTATTTTCTTTTTTCTAATTGCAGTTAAAGCGAAAATAAGGGTAAGTTGTAAAATTTAAAATTTAACAATTTCTTATAGTCAAACTTTTCGGTTTCTACACAATTTGATTAATAAAATAAGTTTTCATTGATTGGATAAATTGTATCCAGGCTCTGAGAGTGTGGGTTCAATTCATTGTCAATTGTTTGAGTCCTAATAGACTGTTTGCACGTGTTAAAAGGTTGATGTGCGCGACACACTCTAAACGGAGTAGGGTGGTATTACAAGTGTTTTATTATTTTCTTTTTTTAACCCTGATTTAAGTGAAGATAAGGACAAATGGTAAAATTTAAAATTTGACAACAAATCTCTTAGACATCAATAGAGTTTGATTAGTAAGACAAGTCTTGACTGACTAGATAAATCGTATTTAAGCTATGTGAAAGGGTTAGCCCTCGTCATTAGATGTAATGACATTAAATGAAGCCCACGTGAGGTTGACAAGATAGATCACGTGACAGATAAATCATTCACACAGTCTTATAAGTTAAGTCGTGTTGATCGATAGATTCGGCAAAGAAAGAAAGAGTTCGGTTCTCTTTATAACCGAACTCATCAATTTGATTCAACTAAGCAAGGAAAGAGCTCAGCTTGTACCAAACCGTGTCCGTTAAAGTGATTGGCAAGGCGATTGAAGAGGTCGCTTTGTGTTAAACCAAGTCCCTTAATCTGTTCGGCAAACGTCGAATGTGCTCGATATTCAATATGTTCGAACTGTTTCAAAAAATAGATAGAAAGATAAAGATTCGCCTATAACTTAGACAATCAGATAAATGAATCGGAGAAATTGAAGATATCAAGAGAAAAAACTGGAGAAATATCAGTAACTTCTTAAACCGAATCACTGAATTGAAGGAAGATGTGTCACATTTAATCAAAATTTTTGAAAACCTTAAGGGGATGACCATCTATAAAAAACAGAAGAATTCAAAGTGAAAGGTACGTTAAACTCTCTTGGTCTTCTTCCATTCATTCCAGTATCTTTATTGACTTAAGTTTCGGAGTGACTTTGATCGAAACACTTCGATCTTAGACAGTTTGTTAGTTTTGTAGGTAAGAGAAGATTGGGAGATTGAGTTCATAAACACTTCAATTTTTTAATTCCTGTGAGAGGTATTCTTAATTTTTCCTCTTACACTATGGGTGTGGGTTCAACTCATTGTCAACTTTGCGAGTTTTAATTGACCGTTATATGTATTAAGAGATCGGTGTGTGCAACATGCTCCGAAAGAAAAATGTCTCCCGATTGGACCAAGGTTAATTTTGAGGGAGGTAAATGTAAGGGGTAGAAATCACTATAGATCTCATCCCTCCACTTGAAAGATTTTCGGCTGACCTGGTTGCACCGAGCCCCAGTAGCCTTTACCTCTCTTCGCCAATAGGACCTTTTCCTAAGGCAATCCCACATCGGAAGAGAGTCGTCTTCCCCCCTGTCATATAAGTGAACACTTCCTATGGAGGAGGTACCCATTAGGCACCTGATCAGGTCGCTAGTGAGTACCTCCTTCATAGGAAGTGTTCACTTATATGACAGGGGGGAAGACGACTCTCTTCCGATGTGGGATTGCCTTAGGAAAGAGTCTTATTGGCGAAGAGAGGTAAAGGCTACTTGGGCTCGGTGCCGCCAGGTCAGCCGGAATCCTTCAAGTGAAGGGATGAGATCCATAGCGATTTCTACCCCTTATAGTAAATACCTGAGAGTTACCCTTTTTTTACTTTCTTTCATATGTCCACAATACCCTTATTTCTTGTGTTTAATCGCATGTTTACTTCTTTGTTTCTTTGTCTCAAGCTGCAAGTTTTGTGATTTTTTTTTGGGGGGGGGGGGGTAGGGGGTAGATTGGTCAATGGCTAACAGCATCTCTAATAAAAAAAAATTATTTTCACTTAATTTCTTATTTTAAAGAGTCAATCATCAAAAATCTAATAAACTCTTTATAGACTAGTTAAAATAAAGAGTTTTATTTGGTTTTTCACATTTAGAGAGTTCAACTCATTCTCTATTTTTTTTTAATGAATTAAAAGACACACATGTATATTTTTCATTAAATACTATTAATTGTAAGACTTTTTTTTACTAAAATAAATAGTTTATCGGAGTTGTCTAAAATATTTCACTCAATTTTAATTTTTATTAAAGATACTATTTATTTTCAGAAAATATGTTCTCTAAAAATACAGAGTACTATTAGAAATATTTAATTTTTTATTTTAGAGAGTCAGTAAACCACCAAAAAATTATCCTTAATAATAAACTCTCTGTTTAAATTAGCTAAAGTAAAGAATCTAAATTGTCTTTCTACATTTTGAGGGTGAAACTCACTCTATACTCTACAATTAATGAATGAAAAAATATCATACATATATTTCGTTAATCTTTTTTGCTATAAATTATATTTTTTTATATTAGAATATAGAACCCTAATGGAGTTGCAAAACAAATAAAATTCATTCTCTATTTCAATTTTTCGTCAAAAACATTTTATATTTTCTAAAAAAAATAGAAAATATTTTATAATTCACCCATTTATCC